GAGTGCACTTGCAGCTTTGATTATACTAAACAGAGAGGGGGTCTGGGCCTCCCTAATTTATTCTATTACTACGTGGCTACACAGCTGACACAGATTGCTTTGTGGCACTCGCCCCCCAATGAGCGGAAATGGGTGGAGATAGAATCACGAATGATGGGTGCGGATCTTCCCCAGTTCGCGATGTGGGTCCCTAGGGAACACAGACCTCTGATAAGGGTTACATGCCCGGCAATTTTGAACTCCCTCAGACTATGGGACTCCTATGGATCTAAATTCAGACTGGCGTCTTTTCCCTCACCCTTTATGCCGATACTACGCAACAGAGCGTTTGCCCCGGGAATGGAGGCAAAGAACTTTAGGAATATAGAACGTGCAGGCATACAAAGGATTAACCATCTCTACCAGGGTCCCGAGATAATCACTTTCGATGATCTTAAACAGGGAAGACATCTAACACCTAGCGATTTTTTTTTAGATATTTACAGATTAAAGACTTTGCTAGACAGCCACATATAAAATCCATAGCACATAAGACACTGACCTTCTTCGAATCAATATGTCAATCGGAGATTACCCCCAGGGGTCTCATAACCCAACTGTACGCACACCTATGCACAGAAACAAAGGAATGGGGGGGACTAGCATATATTGCACGTTGGGAGAGGGATCTTGGTGAGGAACTTGAGGGAATAGAATGGCAGGAGATATGGGAGGCCAGCAGAAACACGTCTGTATGCGTGACATTATAGGAACAATCCTTTAAGTTGATGTTGCGATGGTATACGACCCCAGTTATGCTATTCAAAATATGCAAAACCACTACAGACGAATGCTGGAGGGGATGTGGACTAAAGGGGACATACTTACACATGTGGTGGGAGTGTCCTAAGGTTGCCAGGTTCTGGAAGGTCATAAGGGACCTTCTCACACAGGTGTTTTCCAGAGCCCTGGTTATGGATCCTTGGGTATATCTATTGAACAGATCTATAGATGGCTGGACTAGAAGGGAGCAAAAACTAATTCATAAATTCACCCTAGCTGCGAGAAGAGCTATAGCACACACATGGCTACAACCAGATATGCCACACATAGCGAGCGTCATAATGAGAATTAGGGAAGTACGCTTAATGGATGACCTTTCTCTTTATTTTCTTTTTTTTTTTATTATTCTTTATTTTTGTAGTGCAAGTTTAAAACAGCAAGCCCGTGTTGCCACAACAGCAGTCACAGGCATAACATCAACATACATTATCCGACATGGCAAGTGAGAGAACTGCACAGTTTTATAATTTGAAGCAGAAAAGGTCCGCACATTCTATGTTTTTGTTAAATTAATGAATGACATATGAGCTCGATCTAGGTATGCTTGAATACAGTACTAACATGGTAACATTAGAAGTAAACAGGTGATGGTCGCTAAACCGAACATAAACTTCGCCTAATCTGGGCGATTAAAGAGTTAGGGTGTAGTGTCGCCCTGCTAGCCAGTGTGGCCTCCTAAGGCTATGTACCTCAGCTCGCTGAGGTCAAGGACACAGCGACATGAGTGGTAGGGCTGTGAGTGATAGGGTTAATCTGGGTAAGTGTAGCGAGCTCTTTGAAGCATGTATCCCATACCCCTAGCGTAGCTATAGTTAAGTGGCTAGACTGCGTGTGCTAGTGTGGATAGTAGGTATGCATTTGACTAGTGTACATAGATGAGCATTGTAAAAAACAAGTATAGGGCTGAATTAACCGACAGGATGTCAAGCTGTAATGGAGTGAACCACCCTGTCTTTATGAGAGGTATGTGCTATACATATGGTGTATAAATGGATTAGACACGGTGGGCGTGAGATAGCGAGCTTAGGCTACTTCATTGTGACCCAAGGTGCGTGTTACCACTGGAGTGGTATTCGGGGAGGTCACGGTGTTAAATGGGCTGTGGTGGAGGACCCTGGGTGTTGCTCAAACTGATAGTCCCCGTGATCCGTAGCCGGAGCGAGAGTTCACACCTTTGTGTAGGTGAAAAAGGAGAAAACGTCCCGGTGAGCAGTCCCAGGCTCAGAGTCCCGGTTCAAGTGGTGGCTGCCGCATAGGGTTCCGCTGGTCTTTGCCTTGGCACAAATTCCAGTGCGCTAGCCGAGTGTGTCCCGAGGCTGCAGCTTGTGGGGCCTCTCTGCGCTGATGCAGCTTCCAGGGTTGACAGTGGGAGGTTTAGCTTCTCTAATGCCTCTGCGGCCTCTTGTAGGTTCCGGGCCAGCACCGGGCCACTTGCGCTCTCTATGCTCAGAGTCCGGCCGGGTCCCCAGCGGTATCGGATCTGTTGCTGCCGTAGGAGAGAGGTGACCTGCCGGAGGGACCTTCTCCAGGACAGTGTGCCACTCGATAAATCCGCATAGAAAGAGAGGGACATTTCTTCAAAGGTGTATGTTGGCCGGCCCTTGATGGCGTCGAGTACTGCCCTTTTGTCTCTTGCTGTTTGAAAGCGGAGGATTATATCACCAGTGGCCGTTGCTGGGGCTGTAATCGGCTTTGGGATGCGAAAAATCTCATCCAGCAGGATCGTTCTTGCCACTTTTGGAGTCAGGAGCGCAGTTAGCAGTCACCTGGTAAGGTGAGGGAGCTCTGCTTCAGGAATGGAGTCCGCGACCCCCCTTAGCTTCAGGTTATTTTGGCGTCTCCTATCTTCTTGGGTGGCCAATTGTTGTGCATGAAGTGTCGCTTGTTTTTTCAGGTCGCATACCGCTGCTTGCAGTTCCGCAATCTGGCTTGTGTGGTCTCTGGAGGTGTTTTCCACCGTTCCCAGCCGGGTGCACAGGCCTTGCAGGTCTTTCCGGATTGTTGCCACCTCCGTTGAAATTTTTTCATGGTGGGAGGCCATGAGTGCCGTGATAGCCTCCATGGTGACCGGCGTGTGGGTTGAAGCAGGTGGTCGAGGTTTCTCAGGCAGTGGTGGTAAGCCTGTTGGTATGAGGCTCCCTTCTCCTTCATCAGATGTCTCATCCGAGAAGTCTGTACATCTTCCATGCAGGGACTCCATTGTTGCGCTCGCGGCCTCGTGGGCTTGCCTCCACATGTCCCCGATGTTCATACCCTGACGGGGCTTGTCGGGCTTTGGCTTCTTCGTTTTTCTGCCCATTGTTGTCAGGTGTGTTAAGGGCACCTTGGGGTCCGTTGGGCCGTGTTGGGCTTCGATATCAGCAGATTTGTATAATTTTAGTCGGGAGCTCCTCGGCCATGCGACTATCCTTGTCCGTAGCTTGACTCCACTCCCCTTTCTCTTTACTTTCGTATGTTTTACTATATCACAGCCCTGGCATCTACAGGGCAAGTAGCAAGAGAACTACGGATACAGGGATCTTTATTTTTATCCAATAGGAAACAAGATTTGTAATGTACACATGTGTCAGCTTATACTGACATTACTTCTATAGCTAAATAAGTACCTGTGTTTTACTTAACAATGTACATTCATATCTGACCAGCCACGAAAGGTTTACTGTACAACGTTATTTGCTATAAAATGTATGTCTTGGTCTTATCGACCTGCATTACTATAGTGCACAGCAAATATATAGAATATACCTGGTAAGTGACAGAGGCACACGGTTACTGCTGGACTTGAACCAGCTTGCTGAGAATACAAGTTGTTTTTGGTATAAACATGGTATTACTGATAATCAAAGTCATTACTTATGATGCCAATGTATCTGTTTTTCTGTTCCAACATAACTGTGAAATGTGCATCTACGCCACGCCTGTCCTGAGTACGCTACTGTTTAATGTTGCATGTTACATGATATATGTACGGGCTTTGTCGGATTGTGATTTTGCAATGCACAACTAAAAATTAAGAATTAAAAAAAAAAAAAGTGCAGCCGTGCTGTGTGTATAAAAAAATAATAATTGGGAATTCAAAGTGTATTTCAGGCAAAAATAGAATTATAAAAATGTGTGTGCCGCTAGCTCTAACCCGGTGTACTCAGAAGCACAAAGACATAATATATGCACAGTTTGAGTTTATTCGGTAAACTGAGTGTTGTGGAGAAATGACAGAGGTATTGCACAATTTGAGGCCAAACGGGCCATATTGGAAACATTCTCAGAATTAGCCATTTTTGAATCTCTGCTATTTTAGACTAAAATTTTTAATTTCTTCGCAATTTCCGACCAGCTAAGTGAATAACTCCATCTTGAGGGCATCCACCAAACAAGAGCAGAGTCGATTGGTCTATGGGGATTATTCACTATACTCCAAACTGTAGTGTATTAAATCTGAATAGTAAAATTCAGGCTAACACAGCCAAATTATAATCAAGTTGGATTTTTTCCCCTTAGATTTTGCTGTTCAAACCACTATATACATATATTTGCTAGATATTGCTGAGCACACTATATAGGCAGATATATTTGCTCATTACAGGAATACTAACTATAGTGTTAGGAATACAAACATGTATTCCTAATGCTAAAGTGTTCTCTTAGCTCTCACCGCAATCTAAATAAAATTGGGTGGTGGGGGGAAGGTTAACAAGAGCTAAGATCAAGTCCCTGTAGCAGAATTAAAATTAAAGGTGGTCCTCTAAAATAGGTCTCTTGTGTATCATGCATAACTCTTTAGTTTCTATATTATTATTACACAAGTTTTTACAGCGACCAGCATCCATCCAGATTATAGTACCATGTAGCTGCATGAGAGTACATTTAATTATAGGGGTGTGTGTGTGTGTATATATATATATATATATACATATATATACATATAAATAATATGTATATACATACACACACACACACACATTTTTATTATTTCTGGGTGTTTTTTCTTTTTTTAATTATTATTATAGAAGCTTTTGATCTGAATTTGACACTAAGCTAAACTATGAATACTTGAATAATGTGAAGTGGCCATTAAATAGGCTGATTAAAAGACATTATTTTGAGTGTGTGGCAGAATTCAAGGAGTGGCAGCAGGTATTTTATATAACCGGTTGTTTCTGCATGACTTCCCCCTGATAATGGGCGCCCTGTGTCGGTCCAGGGCTGGCACTCTATGCCGGGGGACCGTGCATGGACACATACTCTCTGTTTGTGCCGATTGGGTTGGTATCCGTGCGATGACCGGCGGTACCCAGGGTAAGGGACCCCCTGTAGGCCCCCTACCCGGCGATCAGCAGAGCCCCGGGGACAGCAGCCCGGCGGGGGGCCCTGCAGGAGGAGGGCGGCTAGGCCCAATCCCCGGGCTGGATTCCGAGGCTCTCCGAATCATTGCGGCCCATGAGGCGGCCTGCGAGGTGAGTCCTGCCCCGAGCGCCGTGCACTCTATGTTACAAATGTCAATATTTATAGAACTGATCGCTGGTTATGTTTTGTTATTTACTATTCTGTATTTCACTGCCCATTTTATTCATGTAAAGGGATTAGTTTCCCTCTGTTTAAGGTACACAGAGGGATGTTCCTCCTGCAGTGTAAATAATCCTGCTTCCTTGAACAGGTTCTGGTGCAGGAGGCTCCCTGCCATGCCCGAACCTACAATTTATAACAGGAACCAAGGTTTAGTAAACAGTGAATTGAAAAATAAACTCCAAAACTTCCAATTTAGGCAAAAATAGCAAGCTTCAAATAATTCTCCAATTATGCTATAGCCAGCCCTTTTTTTAAAAATGTTTTTTTTTTTTTTTTTTTGCAAACATTTTGCTATTCAGTTTCAAATGCCCTACAATTTGGTGTTAAAGTGTCATTGTCCTCTCACAATGACATCGCCTAAGGTGGTCCAGTGGTTGGGGGCGGGTAAAAGTGAGGTTACTTAACTGAATTGTTTAATAGTTCGATGGGACATTGTGGGTTTTTATTTGGCATTTTTGGGGGCTGAAAAAAGAAAACTGAAGAAAAAAAGAAGACGTCTGATGGGGAGTATTAATGTTTTATTTTACAGGTATTTAGTTTATCACTCCCCCCCTCACTATTATTAATGTGAGGAAAGTAGGAAGGGTATTCCGTTAGGAGCATGGAGGAGGGGGGCTGCCACTAGGGGCTTGGGGACCCCTTGTAACTGGGAGGGGTAATTTACTGTTACAATTAGCACCCACCCATTTTCATTTAAGGACCCCACTTGCAGCTAATGGTGTGGGCTGGGGAGAGCAATAGATTCCCCCCCTTTATTACTTAAGGCCCCCTTTATCAATTAGGGCCCCTACCTGCCACTAATGGGAGAGGCGGGGGGGACAGCAGGTTCCACATATTTATCACTTAGGGCCCCCAAGCACCAACAATGGGTCTGCCTTTGGATTGGATTTTGGGGTCTTTTTTTCTTTTACAGCAGTGATCAGCCACTCGCAGCATAGCGAGTATGGGCAGGAGACAGATTTTAACCTAGCTTATTTACTAATACTAAGTATTTTTTTAACTCCGTTTGCTGAAAGACCAATTTTGGTCTTTCAGTTTTTTAGTAGATCGCTACCTAATACTTGTAGGATTAGGGGGCTGTCTACTAAACAGCTGCACGATGCAGCCATGGCCCAGATTGGAATATTTTTTTCCGAATGAAATTCTGAACCGAAAATAATGCTGAATTTTGGCTGAACATAAATGGACAAACTGTCAGTATTTTGTTGGGATGAAATTCGATCATTTCGCCTACACCCTAGTCTAAATGATAGAAAGCTCAGGAATGGCGAATAGAGGCAACGCAGGAAAACAGAGGAGGGGTTAGTATTGTGCAAAAACTTTATTTGACACAGGTTCACCACACTTAATGGAACCAGGGCCGGTGCAAGGATTTCTGCCGCCCTAGGCAAAGATCAATTTTGCTGCCCCCTCAGGAAATACAATCTCACAGAGGTTTATTCTCTAAACTCTGAATTGCAGTGAGTTGAAAGCCAAATTGCAAAGTTTAAGCAAAAACATCTGAATAGTGAGTGTAGCCATATTGGGGAATTCTTCTAGATCAGCTATTTTGGTCTACATTTTGCCATATAGTTTCCAGTTAGGTCTGCTTAATACACACGTACTGCTTAATGTGTACATCCATACACACATACTGCCTAATACATGCATCCATACACACACGGCTTAATGCGTACATCCATACACACACTGCTTAATGCGTACATCCATATACACATTGCTTAATGCATACATCCATACACACATTGCTTAGTGACACATACTCAGTCACTGACAGACACAAACACTCACAAACACACACTCTCTGACACACATACAATCACTCACTGACACACACACACAGATACACTAATTGACCGACAAACACACACTCACTGACACACAGACTCACACAGTTGTAACAGCGTGCTGTTTAGTATGCCGGGGCTGGAATGAAGTCATATTCCGGCTCCCGACATCACAGAGGGCGCGCGAGGGAGGAGTGAGAAGCTGCAAGAACAGCCTCCCTCGCCGCCCACAATACAGCCGTTTGCCTCCTGTCCCACTCTCCTCCAGCATTTCTTGGCAGAGCAGGCACCTGCCATCAAGTTAAGCTGGTGCCTGCTCTGCCATACTGAAGGACAGCTTTGGGGGCGCCCTGAGGTGGCCAGAGGGCCACCTCCTGGGTCCCCTGTGACAGGACTCCCCTGGGCACCCCCACTTTCGGGCGCCTCCAGTAGGCCAGTGCCCTAGTGCCTTCAAAAATAGTTCTTTCTCCCATAGACTCTATGCCGACGATTTGACTGACACAGGAGAACTGAAAAGATCTCTCACCGGCCATTCTTATGCTCTCCCTTGCATCTTCATACAGCTTCATACGCAGTGGTTGCTATGGAAACTCCTTAGTGCTGCTAGCACTAGGGATTATAGTAACGGAGTGACTAAAGTCGCATTGTTCAGATGCCGACATGCTGGTCTTGACACCAGCATGTTGGCGCCACAGAGGATGTTTCCCAATCAGAGCAAATCACAGAAGAGAACAGGAGGAGCTGAGGATGGACTAGAGGTGGGTGTTACACAAAGTGTAACAGCCACAAAGCTCTAAAGATGGTGGTACTGCATTTATATTTTACATAGAATATATCATGTATCTTTGTTAAAAGTAAGTAGATTTTTCCGTAACAGGTTCACTTTAAAAGCTGTTTAACCCCTTGAGGACACATGACATGTGTGACATGTCACGATTCTCTTTTATTCCAGAAGTTTGATCCTTAAGGGGTTAAACTAGCACACATTAATAAAGGTTTGGTGAAATAACATTTAAGGCCATTTCTAAACCTAATTTTGCATTTTTGTATGAAATGTCTGAAAATATTAATGCATTGCTGATCTTGGGTAAATTAAAGTGTGTAAATATGTAGCTTTAATACACCTATTCAATATTTTAAAATACATTGGTTTTAGGTGAAACTTCCCCTTTAAAAAGACATTGAATATACTCACACATACTATTGCCAGACTACCTTAATTACTATATTATTAGTATGCATTAAAGGGCATTTATCATTACATGTTCTATATGTCCTATCATGTAAGCGTGCCCTAAATGATAGTAAATGGAAAGTAATTTGATTTGTGTTCATCAATTCCATCTTTCTTGTCTCCAACTATAATATCCAGCATCCAGTGAGTGTCAGTTCTCCATCACAGGCGCCTATTGGGATTCTGAGTTTACCATGTGCTCCCTAATTATTGTGGCATGTGGAATGGATAATTTTCCATGTACACAAATCGTTGAGAATGTAATGAATTGATTATATTTTAAATTCCAGTGATGTATGTTATGTTATCAACACTGAGAAGAAGACACTGAGCAGAGTTCCCGTCTTCCTTTCTCACTCTATTTTGTTCCCAGTTTAGGGTGTATTTACTGAGAAGAACAATTTTGAGTGTGTGAAACCTGATGGGCTCCTTTTTACATAGTTAAAGGGTCACTGTAGTCACCCAGACCATTTCATCTCAATAAAGTTGTCTGGACGCAGTGGCAATGACCACTCACCATTAAAGTTGCTATTGGTGCTAATCCACAGTTTGGATATTATCAGTGTATTCAAAGCCCTGTTTCCAGATTTTATTTTGATGTGCACATGGCTCGGTTGATAGGAGGACAGGTGATGTTTTGGGTTTTGGAGTTTCTCTGTGTGTGTGTATATAAATATAATAAATTATTAAATTTTAGTGCAACTATTTTGCCTTTTTCATTGGTTTCCTTTATATTTGTTTCACTATTCTATATTATTTATGAACCTTCAATTTAGATCTTTAGTTCACTGTACTGATAATAAATATATAATCCATACTAAATTGAATTTTGGTATAATTTTGAGTGGCCCAGTAATCTTACCTGGTTTTTGTTTTAGGCTGGACAAGACCACTACATTGATCCTTCGACTGGGTACTCTGTATTCACCAGAATGGCTCATTTGAAAAGGGGGAAATGTTGTGGTTCTGCGTGCAGACATGTAAGTGTCACCATTTTATATCCATGTTTCCTACACATTACACTGAGGTTTATTAACTAAGTAACAAATTCTAGTGAATTGAAAACCAAATGCCAACCTCTAGGCATGCATAGCTGATTTGGAAAAACTGTCCAGGTTTGCTATAGTCACAGCTTGGCTATTTTAACCTAAACTTTGTTATATCATTTTCTCTACGATTTCATGTTTAGTTTATAAACCCCACAATGTCATTTAAGTATTGTCATGTGCATACTCCATCAACTCAGTGTCCGCTCTAATCAAATTGACTCATTCCTGTTTCGTTTCAATCAAAGCTCAGAGCTAAATTTCAGCCCTCCGAATTGGTGAAAACACTCTTTGATGGTCGGCGAGATTTCATTGGAAGCTTTATTTTCAAATGTGTTGGTTTATTTTGTTTTTTATATTCTGTTATTGAATGGGTACGTTCTAATATTATTTGTATTGGCAGTGTCTCCTATCTTCATTAAATTAGGAGACTACCCATTATTATGCAAGATTCACATTGACTTCATGTCCCTTTAAACTTAATTTGTAGCAATGTCTGGTGGAGTGCTCAATATAATGGCAACCCAGACTTCTTCTCTAGTTTAAACAACATTATTATTATTATTATTATTAGTGCCATTTATATAGCGCCAACAGATTCCGTAGCGCTTTACAATATTATGAGAGGGGATTTAACTATAAATAGGACAATTACAAATAAACTTACAGGAACAATAGGTTGAAGAGGACCCTGCTCAATCGAGCTTACATTCTATAGGAGGTGGGGTGTAAAACACATTAGGACAGGAATTTGCAATCAAATAAGGTGGGCTGCCCTTTAGGAGAGGGCAAGAGACAGGTATGTGAGGTAGGGGTTAGTCTTGGAGGCCATAAGCTTTCCTAAAGAGATGGGTTTTAAGGCACTTCTTAAAAGATGCAAGACTAGGGGAGAGTCTGATGGCGGGAGGCAGGCTATTCCATAGGAAGGGAGCCGCCCGCGAGAAGTCCTGCAAGCGCGAGTTGGCCGTACGGGTGCAGACAACGGACAGGAGGTGGTCACGGGCAGAGCGGAGAGACCGAGAAGGGACATACCTTTGGATCTGTGAGGAGATATAAGAGGGGCTAGAGTTGTTCAGTGCTTTATAGGTGTGAGTTAGTGCCTTGAATTGACTCCTATAGCACACAGGAAGCCAATGTAAGGACTGGCAGAGGGGTGAGGTGTGAGAGAACCGACTAGAGTGGAAAATCAGTCTAGCAGCAGCGTTCATTACAGACTGTAGGGGTGCAGTACGGCTTTTGGGAAGACCAAGCAGGAGAGGGTTACAATAATCCATGCGGAAATTACTAGAGCATGGACAAGCTCCTTGGTAGTATCTGGTGCAAGAAAGGGGCGGATGCGGGCTATGTTTTTAAGATGGAATCTACAGGATTTGGCAACATGCTGGATGTGAGGCTCAAAGGTGAGACCAGAGTCAAGTATGACGCCAAGACAGCGCGCTTGCAAGGATGGGCTGATGTTGGTACCACAAACTTGAAGGGAGAGCGAAAGAGGAGGATCAGTATTAGGAGGAGGAAAGACAAGGAGCTCAGTTTTTGAGAGATTGAGTTTCAGAAAGCGGGAGGACATCCAGTCAGAGATGGAAGAAAGGCAAGCAGTGACACGTTGCAGGACAGCAGGGGAGAGGTCTGGGGAGGAGAGATATAGCTGGGTGTCATCAGCGTACAGGTGGTAGTAGAATCCAAATGAGGTAATAAGTTTGCCAAGAGATGCAGTATAAAGAGAAAATAGAAGGGGACCAAGGACGGAGCCTTGGGGGACTCCAACCGAGACAGGGCGAGGGGAGGAGGTATCATTAGAAAAAGAGACACTGAATGAGCGTTGGGAGAGATAAGAGGAAAAACATGAGAGGACAGAGTCACAGAGACCAAGTGATTGCAGAGTTTGAAGAAGGAGAGCATGATCAACGGTGTCAAAGGCCGCTGAGAGGTCAAGAAGAATTAGTATGGAGTAGTGGCCTTTGGATTTAGCTGCGATTAGGTCGTTAGTAACTTTGATAAGGGCAGTCTCTGTAGAGTGGAGAGGGCGGAAGCCAGATTGAAGGGGGTCAAGGAGAGAGTTGGAATTGAGGAAATGAGACACACGGGTAAAGACAAGTCTTTCCAGAAGCTTTGAGGAAAAAGGGAGCAGGGATATGGGACGGTAGTTAGAGGGGGTGGACGGGTCGAGGGATGGTTTTTTTAGTATAGGTACTACAGTGGCATGTTTAAGGTCAGCAGGGACGATGCCAGAAGAGAGCGAGCAGTTGAAGATGTGTGTTAGAGAAGGCACGAGACAAGTGGAGAGAGATCTGATAAGGTGAGATGGGACAGGATCGAGCGGGCAAGTGGTGGGGCGAGAGGAGCAAAGAAGGGCAACCACCTCTTGGTCAGTGGCTGGGGAGAATGTCTGAAGGGTAGGAAAGGCATGATCTATGTGTGATTGAGAAACAGAAAGGCAAGGAGGGGAGAATTCTTTCCTTAGCTGTTCAATTTTGTCAGTGAAGTAACATGCAAAGTTATCAGCAGTAAAGTTGGTTTGGGGGGTGGCCACAGCGGGGCGAAGAAGAGAATTAAAGGTGTCAAAGAGACGCCTGAGGTTGCGGGAACATGAACTAATGAGAGAGGAAAAATAGGACTGTTTGGCAAGGGCAAGGGCTGCACTGTATGAACACAATATGAATCTATAATGGAGTAAGTCTGACTGGGTGCGAGACTTCCTCCAGGAGCGTTCAGCACAACGGGAGCATCTTTGCAGGTGGTGCGTTGATTTAGTATGCCATGGTTGGGGGCGGGTCCTCCTTGAGGTGCTTGTTTGGAGTGGCGCTGCAGTGTTCAAGGCAGATGTAAGAGTAGAGTTATATATGGAGATGGCCAGTGAAGGACAGGAGAGGGAAGGGATGGACAGCAGTTGTGAATCAATGTCAGCTGACAACTGTTGGAGATCAAGATAATTAAGGTCCCTCCTGAGTTGAGTGGGTAGGCGGAGGTTGTTGGGTGAGGGGCTACGTGAGAGCAAACGATAAGAGGTGGTGATCAGAGAGTGGATACGGAGTGTTGCAGATATTAGATACAGTACATGCATAAGTGAAGATTAGGTAAAGGGTATTGCCAGCTACATGGGTGGGAGAATTTGCCCACTGTGATAGCCCGAGGGAGGAAGTAATTGAAAGTAGTTTATTGGCTGCAGAGGTCAAAGGTGGGTTTATAGGAATATTGAAGTCCCCGAGAATTAGGGATGGGATGTTAGAAGAGAGGAAATAGGGTAGCCAGGCAGCAAAGTGGTCAAGGAAGAGAAGAGGGGAACCAGGGGGACGGTAAATAACAGCAATGTTAGCAGAGAAGGGTTTGAAAAGGCGAATTGAGTGTATTTCAAATGACGGGAAAGAGAGGGAAGGGGGGGTGGGAAGAGGTTTAAAAGAGCAGTGAGGGGAGAGGAGAAACCCAACACCACCACCTTTACATTCAGAGTTTCTTGGGTTGTGGGTAAGTTGGAGACCACCGAAGGACAAAGATGCAGGGGTGGCAGTGTCAGAGGGGGAGAGCCAGGTTTCTGTTAAGGCTAGTAAATCTATTGAACGAGAGATGAAGAAGTCATGGACAGCAGTGGATTTAGTTATATTGCAAACAGAGCGTGCGTTCCAGAGGGCAGTATTGAAGGAGGATTTAGATGAACAACATCAACCAACTATATTATAAAAAATATATCATACATTGCTCTCTTTGCCCTCTTTGTTCTCAATGATTTCTGAATATATATTGTTAAAGGAACGCTATTCTTAGTAAAATTTATTATTCCCAACAGCTATAGCGTTAGGAATACAAATAACGCAATAGAACCCTAGTCACCGTTCAGGTGACTAGTGCCCTGTTCCGCGGCAAATAAATGGTTGATTAACCATATATTTGCTTACCTTAATCCAGCGTTTGGCTCCCTTGGCACTGGTGACCTCTCCTCCTCCATCGACGTCAGCTCCTATGGGGATCTTTTTTGACGCTGGACTCAGTGAGGATGTCCAGCGTCAAATTAGTGCGATTTACTCGTGGATGCAGCCTCTAGTGGCTGTCAGGGAGACAGCCACTAGAGGATGGATTAACCCTGCAGTGTAAACACAGCAATTTCTCTGAAACTGAAAGTTGAAGTGGTCTGGGTGCCTACAGTGGTCCTTCAAAGTTTATTTTCCACGCACTCTCAATATCTTTCATAGCTTACTCTGGTAACTATCCACACAAATAAACATGCACAATGCCACTTATCTTAGTTTGAAAAAACCCTTATTAAACTTTTTGGCTGGCTAATAGAAGCATTTTTAATGAATGAAAGTATTTACAACTTATGAACTAGTTATCTCTTGCATTCCTGTTAGATTGTGAATACCCATCATATCTTGTATGTAGTGGGGGGAGGGGTGTCAAAGTAGGCTGAGAAACAGAAACTACAGACTTGCCGTTAGTAAGGAAAATTCAGAAGTGAACAAATTTTTTTTTTTGCTTATTTTTATATATAATATATACTATAAACTCCAGCCTGCAATATCCCTTTGTATAGACAGTTATGTTTAGAAGCATAAAATACCAAATTATCTGGATTAATTATCCAAAGGTTAAGGTTTGCATAGGTAATATGTAGTACTAGGTATATTTTTCGATCTCTATTTTTCTGACTGCCACTAAAAGAATATCTTCATTAAGATTTTTGAAAAAAATCAAAGGTCTTCATGTTTAGTGTCATCACGCACAGTTTGATGATGCTGAATGCTGTTAATGCTGCATTAGATTAATTGCTTTTCTTTTTAAAACATCTGATTCGCAGAGTGCAGTGACTGACACACATGTACTACAGGTACCCAATGCTTCTATATGAGAAGCAGTGGATTGGACAAAAGTCCTCAATCCAGATGACCTCACTGGAGGTGGAGCGACTGCTCTGAGGAGACTGACCTGATGCTGCATTAGAGATACATTTTATGCCAATGTTTTGTTAATTTATGAGTGAAATCTGCATGTAAATAGATCAAAAACACTGTAAATGTTTAGTGTATATATTTTTAACATTACAATGCCCCTTTAATACATTCAGTAACTTCATAGCTTAGATTCTCATTTCTTTTTAAATGAAATGTGCATTTTACCCCCTATTTTTTAGAGAGGGGTAATTTGAAAACGAGGGCACAACCAGGATTTGTCTGAAAATTAAAATGAAGGTTTACTTATTGCTTTACCTACGTTATTGCAATTGGTAAAAACACAAACTGGGCTGCATCTGATAAAATACCTGCAATATGACAAACTCAATCATTAAATTGAATGAAATTTCTGAGGGGGGGGAAAAACTAACAATATATTTCAAGGTTATTTGAGCAGTTACAACTTTAGAAATGATTCAAGTTCACTAATTAAAACCGTTATTGTTCGTCAGTTTTTCCCTTTCCTCTTCCTCTTCTCCTTGCAGACCCCTTCCTACATACATAAACGTAAATGACATATTTTGTGTCTGTCTCTTTTTAAGCTGCAGGGTGGGTTTGAGGTTCTTTCATTGCAATGTAATGCCATGAAATAAAATGCATTTATGGTTTGTTTTTTTTCTTCTCTTTTTCAGTGTCCATATGGCCAGGAAAATGTTAAAGACTCATCAAAAAGGAAGCAATTTAATTCCTTTTTTTATACATGACAGCTGACTCCAATCTTTTAGCTATTTTTTCATTAATCATACGGATTTTAAAAGATAGTACTATAAAGCAATTGGATTTAGTCTTCCTAATGATGTTGTACTTCTAGTTAATATTTTTAAGTAATGAATTCAATGTTAATTGTAATAAACATCAAATGGGAAGCAAATGTTCCTGGTCATTACTGTGTGCATACTATGCCGCTCTGTCCTCAAAACAATTAAGGCAGTGAAGGATGCATTTTGTTCTTGCTTTTGAAATCCCCTTCTAGCAGTTTTAATTGTGGCATTTGTACATTTTTATATTTGCTTTAATTTTCTTTTAAGTCTATTTTTCTATGTGCGCGTGTGTGTGTGTGTGTGTGTGTGTGTGTGTGTGTGTGTGTGTGTGTGTGTGTGTGTATATATATATATATATATATATATATATATACACACACACAAATATTGATATGATACATAGTGAATATACAGAGTTTTTAGGAACCATACTTTTAATGCTCTGCGCAGATTAACTAGAAAGAATATGTAAAGCAGCTGGAAACATTACAAGGAGCAGTGAGAGGTGATGTGCTGTGCTGCTATTGGTAAAGTTAGAAATTCTTTGAGATCTTGCCTTTTTCTACTCTACCTTTTTGCCTTTTTCTCTCACTCTCTGTACCCAAAACTCTGTAGTCACCTCTTACTTCCCTACTCATGTAGCATTTAGGCATCACAGAATGTTGCAAGTTTTTACATGGTAGTGTACAACGTGTAGGTTGTACACTACCAACCCTTCCCCCGATTTTCCTTGTTTTTTATTTTATTTATTTTTTTGTCTGTTTGTTTTTTAAATCAATCTAAAAATCTAATTTATCTCTCCCTCCACCCCATTTAGCAAAGTCTGCTCTGAGGCTGTTTACTATCCTAACCTGTGCCTGTAAATTGCAAGCACGCAATATTTACTATCGTGAAAATTCAAAGTGAATTTCATATTAATTATTATTTTCTGATTTATATATTCCGTAACGCTGTACAACGGGTGGACTAACAGACACGTAATTTAAGGCCAGAGTAGCTGAACTGGAACTATAACTGCCTGTGTTAGAGATTTTTTCCAGTTTGTTTTAAACTTTATGTTTAAAACTCACTTTAAGTGTTCAGTTTAGTGAATAATCCAGCCAGTATGCACATCCGTGCACACTAACTTCTGCGTGTCATATATGGATAAAGCTGCTGTAGCGGACTGACACGTGAATGGTGACCTAAGCTGGCTGATTTGTGCCAGTCCCGTACAGCTGCTTTATTCATACATGTTTACAGGCTGCACCATCCGACTTAGACTCAGGTTACAGCAGGAGGATACCTGGAAACACACAGGGTAACTCACAAAAATGAGAATTCAAAATGTAAGGTAAAAATAGCCGAGCTGGAAAAATTATCTAAGTCAGCTTTCACTTCAGCTACTCTGGCCTCAAAGTTGAAATTCACTTTGGTAAATAACACTGTTAGACTGTGATCTAGAGACAGTTTACATGTTGTGAGGAGGTACAGCATGCTGATTTGCATAGAAACCAAAATTTAATTATACAGTTTAAAAATATTTTGGTAAGAGTTTTACGGTTAAATGTATTATTTATGTATAATCTGTATTAAATAATGAACAGTGGTAAAAAATAAAATGTCAGCAGGAATGTTCATTTAACTAAGTACGGTAAAAGGACTGGCAAGTATATAACTCCACTTATGTATGGGCACTGCCAATTTAGCCCAAAATTTGCAACTCCCATGCCAACGGACCACAGTTTAGTGAATAGGCCCCAATACGTATGGAAAAATATTTTGAAGAATTATAGTTGTAGAAAAAAATACTTAAATACAGATAAATGCTTTGTGAAGAGATGTGTTATATAATGAGCACGATTTGTAGTAGAAGTAGAATGATTTACAAGTATTAGGTTATATGGCATGACAGAAGGAGCTGCAAGAATATATAACAACTATCAGTAAATAAACGAATAACCAAGAACAGAGAGATATATGGTGTCTGATTAATAAAATGCTATTTTTACGAAGGGGAAAAAACTAGGAAGTCTCTCACAATTGATGTAGATACAAAAAGTATTTCTGTACAGTTTTCTTTCTGTTGACACAGATCCCGCACTAGATCTTTGTCATAAGAATAGATTTGCAGACAGACACTGCCCCCTTTGTCACTAAACAAATTAAACATTTTTCCTCTTCCAGTGTAGACGGGGCACTTCTTTAGAAAATGTGTCACAGTGCTGCAGCCTCACTTCTGGGCACTCCTGCTGAGCTGCTGTGCTTCATTTTCAAGAAACCGTACAGATATAATAAACGCATGTAACAAAAATACACCAAGAATATTTTATATTTATACGTTAACTCTTATACTGTTGGAGAAACCTAATGTAACTATAAATTTACATTGCTTGGAGACTGTTTGTTTGTGATAGACACTTATTGTAGTTGGTTGTGCTACAATCCACAGATACCAACCTTATTATTTATCACGTGCCATGGGTTGGCAAGATGTACAAAATGTAACAGGAGAAGTTTGACATAAAGGGAAATAAAAAAGAGGTGGTGATGGTTCTGTTTAAACAAGTCTGTTGATGTGCCTTCGTACTGAGAAGGTATTCAAAGATTTAATGAGAAGGTATAATGGCATGTAAAAGACGTGTAGATTGTCATTACTCTCAAAATAACTTCAGTTCTCATAACGATAACAAAATTGGCACCCATGTTGTATTCAGCTTGGATAATCTAAAAAAAATGAAAAATATAGGGTGAGATGTACAGGGACTGGATACAGGTGTGCAATTATATTTCTTGTGAGATATAACCTTATCAATGTATGTTCTGAAGGTTGTGAATTAATTAGGAGGGCCTGGTGTATGTCTACCAAGAGTGATAATTTGCTATAGACTGAACAAAATTGAGAATATGAACATGGTGCATATTGTAAGGTATATTTATCATGTGGTTAATTTCCATTCAATTCTGGCAACTAAACTAATTTACTGAGAACTATCAATGACTCACAGACAGTGTATCTGTCACAAGGTGTATTTAACGGCTTGTGAAAGCAACAAAGCTTACAAGATCATAAAAAAACAACACATTTTTTTTTTTTCTTTATGGAGGAAATATAATTTTGACAGATTTTATGACATCTTGTTTGGGTGACAGAACCTTAGGCTGGTGGCATGGTGATAATTTAATTGTGCTGATTTTAAAATTTAATTGAAAACTCTTTCTCGATGGGTCATGCACTCTGCAACTGCACTGTGCCTTAGAAAAAGTGATGCAGGTTACAGGGGTTGTAATGAATTATTGGATATGGTAAATAAAGTTCCCAAAAAATATTTCAAATTCTTTGGCCAGATCTTTTGAACTCTTCCACCTCTTGAATTTAGTGTACATTGATGGTAAATGGTTAGTGGCTTAATTGACAAAAATAAACTGTCTTAAATAAAAGCTGTTTAGTAAACTACCTAGGCGGGCAAGATGGTAGCCAACATTTTGTGGGTGAAAATGTGCTTGCTTGGTGATTGCTTTTATATTCGATGCACACACTAATATTTAAGTGTGAGTGTTTCAATTCAGGTTTTGTGATTGGCCTTTAGCATTAAACAGCCAGTAAGAGAAGTTGGTACATATATGAGCCTCTCAACACCTTGGATCGCCCCACAACTGGATGCAGCAAGGTCAGGGTACTAGGGATGTGTAGGTACCACTGATTGAGGAAATTAATTTGGAGCAGATAGCTATGATCCAGAGTCAGAATATATAAGTTTTGATGTGTAGGATGCTATAAAAGGGTATGTACACTTCCAGGTTACTCCAGATTCACTTTGGCCCAACATTGTCAATGTTAATCACCCCCACCCTTCCCTGCTTCTTCCAGGAAATCGAAGTCAGTATTCCACACGTTTACCACTAACAATAACAAATTTTTTGTTCTAGTTTTATAATTGCAACAAATATATGATGATCAATTTATTAATAAAGTAGAGCAGAGGGTCCTTCTGCTTTCCACCCATAGCAATTCTAGTGCATGAGCTAGCAGGACAGGCTAGGGAGTATAAGAGCAAAGTGGCATGATGACACTCCGTTCAGATGCTGGCAGAGGTTTGCCCTGCTTGGGGAAGTGTCCCCAAACATGGCATATTGATGAACATCAGAGGAGGAGCATGGGCAGGTCAGAGGCCATTGTTACAGAAGTGTAACACCCACCTCTAATGAGATTGAGGTTGCCATGGTAAGAGATTATAGGTTCCCTGTAATGAATGTGGACATATGTTGGTATTTTTAGGATGCTACAATCACAAAAGGGCTAGGGGTCTTCTTGTTCATAAGATATTTAGCAATTTTTATTTACCTTTTTTATGTCCACTAATTGACAACAAATAATTTTTACTATAGTATGTCCGTTCCATATGAAATATTGTATGATAAGGGACAATGTATGGTTTATAAAGCTATATATACCTCTGCTCTTTATGTCAAGGCTTAATGAATAAAAAGAGCTATACTTCCACAATCGATATTCTAACCTTCCCCAATTTTGGAAAGTCTAGCAAGCAAAGCATGTCTTTTTATATAACTATTTTTACACATTTCACAAATCGCTGTATTGTTTGTCTCCCTCCTGTTTATCCATGCAAAATATGTTGGTGCTTTATCAATAAATAAAAATAATTTAAAACAATCTAACAAATAGTTGCTCTCATGTTGCAGTAAAGGTGGTATATGTCTCTCAGTGGGCCCATTTCACTGCTTTATTTGTCACATAGCGAGTTTAAAGAAACAAATTACTCTATAATCCTGACTTCATATTTTATTGATTACCCAGAGTTTCTACAAGAATAAAACAAAGGGCTATCTTGCACCCCATATATTTAAAATGTGGTGTATTTTTATGAATATAACCTCTGTTTTAAGAATAAACAAAATTGTGTTCTTGCGATTTATTTCATAAATACATCTACGATGTAAGTAGATTGCTTGGGTATAAACTTGTAATGGGTTTTTTTTTTGTATATACCTTGAATATAGATGTCTAAAAAGTATCCCTTTTATCCAAAATAGGCACTTTTATGCTGTTCTAAATTGTGAAAATGTAGCAAGTCACAACCGCTCCATGCAAATTGATCTGGCTCTGGCGTGAGCTGTATGGCATTTTTAAAGGCTTATTCCAATCCTTAACAAATCTATATATTTTTTATTAAAAATGCACTATAGGGCATTACTTTTTTAGGTGTGCCCCCCCCCTTAAAAGTGGCAAAAAAGATTTTTACTTACCTTAATCCTTCTCATCCACGCCCCAACCTGATGTCATCAGGTACTTCGATCCAATCACAGGCTTTTCATAGATGTAAAATTTGCACATAATTGACATTAAGTAGCCTACAACAGCCTGGACAGCCTAAGTCACATGTACTGGGACTGCAACTTGTTCCCATCAAACAATTAAAAATTACTCTGGATGTGCAGCATTTCAAGCAGACACACTGCACATACAAACGCTTATTACCATGACAACTTCAAATCACTGAAGCCAGGATTTGGCATTAAGCTATTTAATGACATTCTTACATTAAAGCGATACTATAGGCACCAAAACAATATTAGTCTCTAGGGACACTATAGTAACCAGAACTACAGCTTAATGTATTCAAAGAAAAGGCAATGCTTACATTACTGGCTAGGGAAACATCCAGTGGCAATCGCTCAGACAGCCCTAGAGGTGCTTCCTGTGTAAGTGCGGCACTGACATTCAGCAGCTCTATGCTCTGCAAGGAGGTGCTAAACTTCCCTCATAGAGATGCATTGACTCAATGAGGAGATGCTGATTGGTGCAGCACGGCAGCCTCATGAAAGCATCGGATTGGCTGAGAAGGTCAATTCTGATGATCTCAGCCAGGGAGGCAGAGTGGGAGCAGTGCTGGAATTAAGGTAAGTTTTATGCTAATTTAAGGGGGGGGGGAGGTGAGGCCAGCAGGGCTAGTGCAAGGATGTTTGCCACCCTAGGCAAAATAAAAAATTGCTGCCCCCCAATGTGACATTGCAATGCCCTACCCATATGATCTGCCATATGAATTAACACCAGTGCTGCACACAGAACGTGTTTAACCCCTTAAGGACACATGACATGTGTGACATGTCATGATTCCCTTTTATTCCAGAAGTTTGGTCCTTAAGGGGTTAAATTAAAAAGCCTGCAGAGACAGATTATAGACACCAGAACCACTATATTAAGCTGCAGTGGTTCTGGTGACTACAGTGTCCCTTTAATGTAAGGTAAATTAGAGATTAGTGCCACAAATAATATACTAGATTGCCTACTTACAACCAGATGAGGATAATGATGGGCTCTGGCTGCAGTCTGGCTCCACTGGTCTGGTGTAGAACAGGCTCTCTGGCGGCTGTTTGTAACTGTGCTCACAAAAGTCAATGTTCTGGGGGAACATGAAGCAGCTCCATTTTTTGGGGGCCCCTTGCATAGCTCAAGGTATGGGCCCCTCAGGGCCTGACGGTGAGTATGTCCATAAGGCCCACCCATAAGTCCACCTACATGTTCCACCCTGGAGTTTGCTCACAGGGAGTGGAGTGTGTAGGGGATGTGTTACGTGTTAGTGTTGAGGATCTAAAGTGTGTGCTTATGGAATGTAGTGTAGGTGATGCAGTGTTTGTGTGTGTAGTGCATGCAGCGTGTGTTTGTGTAAGGGATAGAAAGCAGTGTGTTTGTGTGTAAGGGATGTTATGTGTGTTTCTGGTTGTGTTTAAGGGATGCATTGTGTGAATCTGTGTTTGTATGTGTAAGGGATGCAAGGTGTGTTTTGGTTTATGTAAAGGATGCAGTGTGTGTGTGTGTCTGTGTATGGGGAAGCATTGTGTGAAAGAGTTTGTGGGGTAGGATATGGGCTGAGTCCTACCAGCCCCTTTGTGCTTCTCTTTCCCCCCTTCCTCAGCCTCTTGTCCCTTACTGCTCTCCCTTCCTGTCCCTTAGAGCTCTCCCCTGCCCCACTGTCCCTTAGTAATCTCCCCTGTCCCTTTGTGATCTCCCTCCCCCCACCCCCGATAGAGCTCTCCCCTGCCCCTTAGTAGTCTCTCCATCCCTGTCCCTTTGTGGTCTATTCTCTCCCACCCCCATTAGTGATCCCTCCCCCCCTCCCAGTGATCTCTACTCTTCTCCCCCACCTCCCTTAGTGTACTCTCCTCTTCCCCCTTTCCATTAGTGGTCTCTCCTCTCCCTCACCCTTAGTGATCACTTCTCACCCCACCCTCCCCTGGTGGTCTCTCTTCTACCACCCCTTAGTGGTTTCTCCTTACCCCCATTTAGTAGTGGTCTCTCCTCCACCCCTACCATGGTGGTCTCCGAAACCCCCTCCCTCAGTGGTCTTCCCCCTCTCCTCACTCCACCCTCTCCTACCCTATGTAGTGTGATTGAGCACTTCATGTCAGTCCGGCCAGGTACAGGAAACGGATGCTCCTGTACCGCAGACCGGCCACGCTACATTGAGGGACTGGCAGGAGGGAGCGCTGTGCGGTTCCCTCCTGCTGTTCCCTCATATCTTGCACCCCTGGGCCGGTGTGCCCTCATGGACGCGCCGCCCTGGCCGTGCTGAAGCTGCATGAGGCTCTCTATAGAGTGCTCAGGCGGCTGCAGCATGAGGGGGGCCGGCACTCCTGGCTGCGCCCCTTCCTAAGGGCCGCCCTAGGCAACTGCCTAAGTCACCTATAGAAAGCGCAGGCCCTGGGGGCAAGGGAGATCAGCCTTCCTAAACACCTCTTGTAAAGAGTCAGCTAATGTTTAAACTTACTTTATTGCACACTATGTTTAAATTAAAATTTCTTATCTCCCGCTCTGTTAGTAGCATGCTAAACCCTGGAAGAGCATCGTCTGTGCAATTAAAGTTTAAATTGCAGAGTTAAATGTAAAGATAGTTAACATCTAATTGAAAATGAAACATTTTTTTTAATGCAGGCTGTCATGGTGGGTGTGGCTAGGGTTGCATAAACAGAAACAAAAGTGATTTAACTCTTAAATATTCTAAATGACAGAGAATTCAGCAGTAAGACTGCATGGACAAGATCTAAACACTAAAACTGCTAAATTAAGATAAAGTTCAGTAGATACCTATAGTGTCCATTTAATAAATAATTGTATATATATACATATAGATTGGAGAATTTGCTATTTGCAATGTAGCATACATTTGAAGGTTATCGATATATTATTCAACTGAAAATTATGTATTGTGTATCATAACTATCCAGTCTGTGTAATAGCTGTTCACACATATATTGGCATTTGTTTTCCTTGTTTGCACTTTTATAACCATTTAAATGCAAGCAGCTCGTTGCTTTAAAGAGACTGGAAATTAATTTGCCCATTTAGTGCACAGTAAGCTGACTGACAGACGCAGAGTGACTGTCGTATTCTGCATAGCATGCAGTATATTCAGAATAATATGCAGCATATTTAATGTCCTCGGTAATATATTCATACCACAGGACGACCAGTTTCTGCGTTTTAAATGGAGTCGTAAATAAATGCTGGTCTCGTAGGTAACGCTTTTCTAAAACAGCAAATCAGATGCAACTTGCTGTAATTTAGGGACCACAAACTGTGCAAGCTGTTGCTTTTTGGCAGATAATGTTATTTCACACATCTTATTTTTGGTGTCAATGCTATATTTCTTCATTTTTATATTAAATAATGACCAATATTGTTTATTTCAGATTGCACTTACCAGGAGATAAAAATCATCAACAGTTTATAATTTTAAGCAAAGAATGTCACTTTTTTAATATGATTATTTAAAGAGACAGTGAAGGCTGGGTGGCAAATTAGTTTGTTGTTATATTTACTTTGGAAGTGTATTAAAGGGACAATATAGGCCCCTGTTATTTAGGCCCAGCAATGTGAAACATTGATGTTTAGCACATTAAAGGGCTAAACACACCTGTAGGGGCAGTCTAGTCAGACTAGCTTTTTACAAGTTTCTTCCTATGAAAGCTTTTCATATAGAGCATTTGATTGTAAGAATGTGACATGTGCTGCGCATGTGCTTCTCGTCCCCAATGCTTCTCTATCAGAGGACTGGATTGGGTTAGAAGACAAGGAAGCGACACCTGCAGGATAACACGGTAGGAGGAGAAGCAGGTGGAAAGTAAGTCTTTGCACTGGAAAAAGAAATACCGTAAGTTAAAAAAAATAAAGTACTATTTTGAGGCCTGAGTCTAAAGAGTGAGGAGACACTGTAGCATTAGGAATACATCTGCGCCTTTAAATATTCAGTCCAGACTTGGAATTTGTATATTTAAAATACATTATATAGGTGACGCTTAAAAAAACTATTTTGAAATAAAAAAATAAAAACAAGTCATTAGATAAAAACTTAGTGAAGCTGCTTTTTTGGCACATCCAACCAACAGCAGCAAAAAAAGATACTACTTGAATCAGAAATGGCAAAACCAACTGCTGAATTCTGATAATAAGATCTATATTACATAAATGGATATACAAATATTATATATAAATTAAATGAATGTAATTAAAAAGGGTGAGATCTATAGGACCTTCTAAATTGGTTGACAAACTGGATTTTCGCTAAATAAATTAAGTTTAGTAAAGAGGGAAAGGGTTTAACAGATACAAAACACTAGGGCATCCCATTAATAATTCAGCTACAAAATGACCTGATATTAGTAAAATGAGAAAAAACAGGTACCTAGTGCAACAGTGACTGCTAAATATATATCATATAACAACTCGAGTGTAAAGCAGGAAAGGAAATGATATTATCTTGCAGTATTACGGAAAAGGTGTCAAAATTAAACTGTTTTGCATTAACTGAAGATAGAGTGAAAAGGCTAATTGAGATCCCTATGGCTAAGTGATATGTTTTGGGATTATGTCAGGTGCCGGTGCCATAAATAGTAAAAATATGTTTTAAATTGCAGAAGATTTACTCATGGACAGAATGGGGATAAGAAGACCCTTTAACTACTGGAGAGATAAAGAAACTAACTTGAGCGGAACTACTGCAAAAGCTGATAGCAGCCGTACTGTTTCTATTGTCAGCTTAGAGCAGGCATCTTCCATCCGCCCCCCCAGATGTTGCTAAACTACAACTCCCTTGATTCTCTAGCCATCTATTGCATTCAAGACTTCTGGGAGTTGTAGGCCTTTACAAACTGGGGGCCTGGAATTTGAAAGCCAGCCCTGAGCTAGAACATGTCATGGTAAAATTGTGCATGAGAGCTTCAAAGGAACCAGTTTGCATACATGAGGAATTATAAAGGGAGTGCGCAGCTAATATGTGATTGAATGGGTGTCACTGAGGGGCTGGAGCTTAAAGCTACAGTACATTTTTAAAATTAAGTTAGATGCAAATGTGCTCAAAGCGAGACGGGGCTTCCTTGTACCATAACTACCATTTGTTAATATGCTTCAAATAGCCCTTTAAGAAAATGTCATTCATAAACACCATGAATGCCAAGGTTTGCTAGTCACTGAAGATGCTCACTTTAAGACATCCTTCAGATATTACTCTTTCATTACATATAGGGATCCATTAAATCTCTCCATGCAACGCCTCCCTTTGTGCAATACAACAGCGAGTCAGCTTTGTGTAATAGTATTTTCCATGTTTATTTCCTAACAATCCTCTGTTGGAATATTTAACCCTCAGGGTTCCAGGCTTTTGAGCAGTTCCGATTAATGCAATATGTCGTTTGCATTAAATTGGATCAATGGCTAGAGTTCTACCAACAAAAAATGTGTTATTATTTAGAAAGTATTGTGTTTTCATTTCATTTGAAAATAAATAATGGCTTATATATCACGTTGATGGTAGACGTCACATTGACAATTCGCTGTTAGGTTTCAAATTTATTTACTGAGCTTTGAATAAATTTCATATCTGCAAAATATTGTAATATATTTCCCAAAATTCCCCGGAAATGCAATCCAAATGCTTACTAAACACATTGTGTGGGGTTAACTCATAGAATTGTGAGCAAACAGGTGTCTGCTAAAAAATGAGCATAGAAACAGTTTGAACACCATGTAAAGCTATGCATTCACATATATACATGTTTAAATCTGATAATTTATCAAATTACACAATCGTGGCACACTGTAGTCTGCCTATTGCAAAATGGTATTGTAGTGTGATTGCAATGTGGATTTATTTTATATGATTATCAGTGAGTAAATACCATATACCTTGTACATAAGCAGCTAATATGACAACTGTTAAATGTAGGCAACAGAAATTGTTTATATTGACACAGTAATCTTGCTGTGTTCATAAAAACCATGGTTTAGGGTTAGGAGTCTTTACGGTAGGGTTAAATCTGTATTCGAGGTACTGTAGACTGTGATTCTCAGCCAAGTTCTAAGAACGTTGAAGACACCATAACCCATTATAGAATACATTGATGTACCCACTGTTAACGCAACACACATAGACTGCACTTGGCACTTTATGAAGCATGTCATTGTAAATGGCGTTGGATTGCTGTGTGGTGGCGACATTGTAGGATTACCCTTAATAATGGCGACTTTTTAAATTTCACATTTATATGTTGCTATGTTTAACGTTAATACTATTGGTGAGAGCAGTATCATCATATTTCAGTTATAGTTAGTAATAGTAAAATAATAATGGTGGATTTTCGGGATTTAAAATCATATAAAGCAACGTTGAGGAATATATTGGTCGTTTATAAATAATAAGAATTAGAATTGTAATAGATAGATAGATAGATAGATAGATACGACTGCAAGCTCGTTTGAGCAGGGTCCTCTTCAACCTATTGTTCCTGTAAGTTTTCTTGTAATTGTCCTATTTGTAATTATATCCCCCCTCTTATAATATTGTAAAGCGCTACGGAATCTGCTGGCTCTATATAAGTGGCGATAATAATAATAGATAGGTGATAAATAGATAGATTGATAGATAGATCGATAGATAGAAAGATAGATAGATATAGAGATAGATATAGATAGATTGATAGATAGATCGATAGATAGACAGATTGATAGATATAGAGATAGATTGATAGATAGATCGATAGATAGAAAGATAGGTAGATAGATAGATAGATAGATAGATAGATAGATAGACAGATAGATAGATATAGAGATAGATTGATAGATAGATCGATAGATCAATAGATAGAAAGATAGACAGACAGACAGACAGACAGATAGATAGACAGATAGATAGATAGATGATAGATAGATAGATAGATAGATAGATAGATAGATAGATAGATAGATAGATGATAGATCTAACACCCCTTTATAAAGCTATCCCCCAAGCTGGACCCCAGTATCTGCCTCGGTGTATTGTTATTTATTATAATGGGGAATAAGTAGGACGTTAGGTAGGTAGACAGACAGAAAAGAGAGACTCGTGTTTGGCATTAATTGGACAATTTCTAGAGGACGAATTGTAACAGTAACTGGTTAAGCCGGGCTCTGTAATATTAATAACCTTGTAGGGCATATTGCTAAACTGGGACTACCCACTTCACTTGAACCTTTGTTACCTATTTGGGTTCGGCACCGAGGTGATTGGATATCAAGCGATGCTGGCAAATAAATGAGAGGGAGAAGGGCTAAGCAGACACATGGGTTTGGAGAGAGTGAGACAGATAGAGACTGAGAGGGACAGAGAGAGGGGGCGAAGCAGAGAGAAGGAGATGACATTAGTGGAGAACAGGGATTTATTAAAAAGTAGCAATAAATAGGTAGGGACAGAGATTGCAGTGGGGGAGAGAGCGCCTACAAGGTGGCAGAGAGACAGTCTCTTTAGCCAAGCATGTTGTTTGTTTTAATTAGCTGAGGGACTGTCTGCCAGTGAGAGGGACCAGCCCCCAGATCCTGCCTGAACCCAACATCTTAGCAGGTCTGAGAGCTCATCTCACTGACACTGGAGAGGCATCAGCTGGACTGGCAGCAGCGCACAGGGTAAGTAGACTCATTCATTGAAACTATCTCTTCTTACTCCTACCGCAGGTACTGCGCCACTGCCACGGCAGGCACCACCGGGAACAATCTATCTATTATTTTATCATTCGAGTACTTTAATGTGCGGGTTCTGCTTCAGTGCTATAAATATATATAAATATATATAACCCAATCAATGTATTTTGGCTATTTTGATTCTTCATACCCATTTCATCCAAACCTGCCATTTATTAAGGACAGCTGTTCTAAAAATAAAAAATGTGATTCTTGTCATTTATTGTTTTTGCATCGAATCATAACTAAGCGGTTCATGTGAACTTATATTTTCCTCAAACACTTCATTAATAAGTGTTTTACAATAATAGCGGTTACAATAAATATCTGGAACAAGCACACGAATTGAGCGATATATTCCCAAATCCCACTCCTCGTATTTATTTACCTCCCCCTTACTTAACCCAGTTTACAACACCATGTCACAATTTGAGTGCATTTTTTGAATATTTTAGAATTTATATATATTTATATCATTTAAATTTAGTTGAACAGAAAATCGCTTATTGTATATAATTTCGGGGTTTTCTTCGGTACATGTGATATGATTTACAATATTTGGTTTGTTCATTGTATTTCTGCCTCTTACATGAATTCTTATTAATTAATATACACACGCCTAACTATATAAATGTATTCATTTCTATCTGCTATTTTCTGTATATCATAGTTCAATGTGTCACATTGTCTGCATTATATAACAGTTATAAAACCGATGATCAATCTTTTGCGCCGTTTGTATAATTTGTTGTCCACAAGGTTGTACTTTTTATTTATATAAATATTACAATTATAATTTGTATTAGTTATAAACTGCCAATATATTCCTCAATGCTGCTTGATTTTAAATTCAGAGAAACCACCATTAATATTTTACTATTATTTTTATCAATCACTAGAGACATGTAGATGTCTAACTATGCATTGTGTGTATCTAATCTAATTGTCTATCTATCTATCTATCTATCTATCTATCTATCTATCTATCTATGTATGTATGTATGTATGTATCTATCTATCTATCTATCTATCTATCTATCTATCTATGTATGTATGTATGTATCTATCTATCTATCTATCTATCTATCTATCTATCTATCTATCTATCTATCTATCTATCTATCTATCTATCTATCTCTATCCATCTTCTATATTCCTTTCTCCCCACTATCTATCTATATCTCTATCTTATCACATGCATTTACTCTGTATCTTTGTCTTGGTAACACAGACAGACAGATACATACATGTTTGACCCAGGGTGAGTTGTCTATCTGTGAGTTTGTCCTAAGCTGTTCTCCTGATACCCCTCCAGTCAGTCTGCCCTGGGGAGTAGGGGGGCGGGGGGGGAGGGAGGGGGCTGATATATACTCCTCTGTAATGCCCAGCAAGGGACCCATCTCTGCTCTGCTAGAAACACTTGGTAGCACCCTGGGATCACCATCCTGTCTGCTCATTCCAACCCCACCACATCCAAGATCAGTGCCCCCAGTCCCATTACTCTCTATATCCCTAAATACCCAGCCTTCACGCTACAATGGGCTTTAGTCTCTCGCCTCTGGCCACCGCTAACAAGGTATTTATGGTCCTGGTGATAGGAATTGGACAGTGGGACAGACAGGGCCAGTTCAGTGGGGGGACTTTTTTCATACGCTGACAAATAAGACCCAAAATGTAATTATTATAATGAACTAGATGGTTCGGGATAAAGGCTGAACACGCTGTTACTGAGGCACTAATTGTATGTCTGTTTGATGTATTCTTATATTGTGTTATATTGTTATTCGGGAATAAATATTATAATTCAATCTGGAATTCCTACCTAGAGGTATGGTGAGATGTTACTTAATATCTCTTATTTCTAATATATATATACACACACATTTTATTCTCTGTGTTAATGATCATACACTACCAAACCAAATTCGAAATCATTTTCCAACAGTCGTTGGTTTATTAAATAATGTAGCATTTATTACCCTCTCTCACTGACATAAACCATGTTTAATTTACAGGATCTCGCATTGACTATGATAGAGATAGATGGATAGATAGATAGATAGGTACTTAGAAAATAGCAGAATGGATATAAATTGTTATATTAAGTGCTAGGTTTGTGGTGTATACGTTTTATAGTTCTAGTGTATAAAATGATTTATGATAAATTAGATAGATTTGTCTAAAACAAATGGTATTTTGGTGATAAAGGCAGTGTTTTTTTGTTTCATTCTAACGAATTAAAAAGAAGGTCTGAAAAGTCATAGGAAGGTCTAGACTAAATAATGACACCTGCAGATTGTCAGTGATGGGAGAATAGAATTATCTGGGATTAGATGTCTGGGCAGGGCAACATTGGGTTTTATATTATAAATGTATCATTTTCAATAGTACGGATTGAAGGGAAAGACTTACATTTTATTTAATTACTGATATTTATTTTACTATGATACATAGATGGGATTGGAAAGATAAAATATAACTGCTTTCTGTACTGTGGGCATATATTGTGTATAAGAACAGATCAGACATAATAACTAGACTAGATTTAACAGATAAATCTATCTATACGTTTTGTGCAATAACATAGATTGTGTTAAAATATTATTATGACGCCTTTCCCTGTCTGATATAAACAAACATTACAACTATCCGCATATCTATCTATCTATCTATCTATCTATCTATCTATCTATCTATCTATCTATCTATCTATCTGACTATCTGTCTGTCTGTCTATCTATCTATCTATATGTCTGTCTGTCTGTCTGTCTGTCTGTTACAATAAATTTGTATCAGAGCTGCTGTACACATTAGAGCATTTTAATACAAAGCAGTATTATGGGGATTTAAAACTGTGACACACATTTAATACAAATCCCTAATATTTAGCTATCGTGCTATTTTTTCTATACTTTTATTTCATTTATTTTTTGTATTTGTGTGTAAAGATAAGCACGGCCTATAATGCAAGAGCTCTATTCACTAAACAGCGAAAACCAAGGTACGGATTTAGAAATTCTTCATGTTGACTTGACTTCACTAACTTCTAGTATTGATAAACTTTTATTCAAATGTTGATCAAATGGTTTAAAACTCACCACAACTCGCAATAGCTCCGTGAATATACCCAGTATAGACAGACAGACAGAATACAATGTAATGCTGGTGTTTACTGTGAAAATTCAGTATATTAATTATTCTATATTCATAGATTGCATTATTCCATCGTTCCATTAGAGGGTATTAGGATTATAGGATATATGTAAATGTTATGAGATCCATTTTCATCTGTCTGTCTGTCTATCATGTCTGTCTGTCTGTCTATCATCTGTCTGTCTGACAATTTATCTCATATCTATCTATCTATCTATCTATCGATCGATCGATCTATCTATCTATCTGTCTGTCTGACAATCTATCTCATACATATCTATCTGGCTGTCTGTCTGTCTGTTTATCTATCTCTTCCTGTCTGAGTCTGTTTCCTCCTTTTTTTTCCTCTCTCCTCACTATTTTATGTCTATCATTTATTTAACCCATTTTAAATTAACCCCATATCTCTCTCTCTCTCTTATAAACTGACACAGGTGAGAATGATCACAGAACGTGTGTTTCCACATTAATAACAACTTATTAAACCTGACATATTGTTTAGCATCCCTGAAAGGTACAATAAACACTGACAGCCACAATCCAGCCATATCTTCATACAAACTGCATTCAGGGGTTCATGAAGAGAGTGCTTTCACAGCAGCCAGAGATCACAGTCTGTACCAGAGATGCTCATGAGAATGAATGCATTTCTCGCTTCAAATCCCTCAGGATTCAAAATAAATCTTTAAAAACTTCTTTTACACAGAATCACTGTACTTGTTGTATCTCTGTATTGTTGCAGAGTTATATTGCTACTGTAACACAACACACAGAGTTATATTGCTACTGTAACACAACACACAGGATCCCTGTATCTCTCTGTTAGTGTTATATTGCTACTGTAACACAACACACAGAGTTATATTGCTACTGTAACACAACACAACACAACACACAGAGTTATATTGCTACTGTAACACAACACACAGGATCCCTGTATCTCTGTATTACAGTGTTATATTGCTACTGTAACACAGCACACAGGATCACTGTATCTCTGTATTACAGTGTTATATTGCTACTGTAACACAACACACAGAGTTATATTGCTACTGTAACACAACACACAGGATCCCTGTATCTCTGTATTACAGTGTTATATTGCTACTGTAACACAACACACAGGATCACTGTATCTCTGTATTACAGTGTTATATTGCTACTGTAACACAACACACAGGATCCCTGTATCTCTGTATACAGTGTTATATTGTTACTGTAACACAACACACAGGATCACTGTATCTCTGTAGTTATATTGCTAATGTAACACAACACACAGGATCCCTGTATCTCTGTATTACAGTGTTATATTGTTACTGTAATACAACACACATGATCCCTGTATCTCTGTATACAGTGTTATATTGTTACTGTAACACAACACACAGGATCCCTGTATCTCTGTATTACAGTGTTATATTGCTACTGTAACACAACACACATGATCCCAGTATCTCTGTATTACAAATATTGCTACTGTAACACAACACACAAAGTTATATTGCTACTGTAACACAACACACAGGATCCCTGTATCTCTGTATTACAGTGTTATATTGTTACTGTAACACAACACACAGGATCACTGTATCTCTGTATTACAGTGTTATATTGCTACTGTAACACAACACACAGGATCACTGTATCTCTGTATTACAGTGTTATATTGCTACTGTAACACAACACACAGGATCACTGTATCTCTGTATACAGTGTTATATTGTTACTGTAACACAACACACAGGATCACTGTATCTCTGTATACAGTGTTATATTGTTACTGTAACACAACACACAGGATCCCTGTATCTCTGTATTACAGTGTTATATTGTTACTGTAACACAACACACAGGATCACTGTATCTCTGTATTACAGTGTTATATTGCTACTGTAACACAACACACAGGATCACTGTATCTCTGTATTACAGTGTTATATTGCTACTGTAACACAACACACAGGATCCCTGTATCTCTGTATTACAGAGTTATATTGCTACTGTAACACAACACACAGGATCCCTGTATCTCTGTATACAGTGTTATATTGTTACTGTAACACAACACACAGGATCCCTGTATCTCTGTATTACAGTGTTATATTGCTACTGTAACACAACACACAGGATCCCTGTATCTCTGTATTACAGTGTTATATTGTTACTGTAACACAACACACAGGATCACTGTATCTCTGTATACAGTGTTATATTGTTACTGTAACACAACACACAGGATCACTGTATCTCTGTATTACAGTGTTATATTGTTACTGTAACACAACACACAGGATCCCTGTATCTCTGTATTACAGTGTTATATTGTTACTGTAACACAACACACAGGATCCCTGTATCTCTGTATTACAGAGTTATATTGCTACTGTAACACAACACACAGGATCCCTGTATCTCTGTATTACAGTGTTATATTGCTACTGTAACACAACACACAGGATCACTGTATCTCTGTATTACAGAGTTATATTGCTACTGTAACACAACACACAGGATCCCTGTATCTCTGTATTACAGTGTTATATTGCTACTGTAACACAACACACGGGATCCCTGTATCTCTGTATTACAGTGTTATATTGTTACTGTAACAAAACACACGGGATCCCTGTATCTCTGTATTACAGAGTTATATTGTTACTTTAACACAACACACAGGATCACTGTATCTCTGTATTACAAAGTTATATTGCTACTGTAACACAACACACAGGATCCCCGTATCTCTGTATTACAGTGTTATATTGTTACTGTAACAAAACACACGGGATCCCTGTATCTCTGTATTACAGAGTTATATTGTTACTTTAACACAACACACAGGATCACTGTATCTCTGTATTACAAAGTTATATTGTTACTGTAACACAATACACAGGATCCCTGTATCTCTGTATTACAGTGATATATTGTTACTGTAACACAACACACAGGATCCCTGTATCTCTGTATTACAGTGTTATATTGTTACTGTAACACAACACACAGGATCACTGTATCTCTGTATTACAGTGTTATATTGTTATTGTAACACAACACACAGGATCCCTGTATCTCTGTATACAGTGTTATATTGTTATTGTCACACAATACACAGGGTCATTGTATGTGCGGCATCCCTTAGTAATTGTGTATTACATATATTACATGTAACTTTTCCATATATTAACCATTAAAGGAGTATACACCCCATGGACAAAGTAAAGTAAGGTGATACCCACCCCTTTCTCTCTCTCTTTCTCTCTCTCTTTCCCCACGGTATCTCCCTGTTTCCATTTTCTCATTTCCTCCCTCTCTTGTTCTCTCTCTATTATCCATCTTTTAATCTCTCTCTTGATCTTCCTTCTCTCCCTACTTTTTCCTTTATTTCTACCTCTCTATCCTTTCTCTCTGTCCCGATTTCTCTCCCTTTTCTCTCTCCTCTCCCTCCCTTTATTCCTTCCTCCTTTCCTCTAAGCATTCCGAATGTCTGTGGACTTCCCTTATCACCCAGCCAAGTGCAGACACCATACTGTTCGGATCATGATGTGTACTTGGCTCCAGTGATTGTCCTCACAGCTCCTCATCCACAGTAATGCACCCAGGCTCTGAGTCCTGGCAGCCGGCTGAATGGACAGAGCTAATCCCAGCCCTGCACTGCCTCACTGCCTGTCAGTCATTGCAGGTTAGATTGGAAGCTGAGAGAGTGGACCAGGTGATGGTCAGGGGGAGCAATGACCTGTGCTATCCTTAGCATTGCATCATAGGAGCCTATATATCATGTATAGCAGCCAAGGGGGGCACATCAGCAGTGTGCTGGGGATTGGAGAGTCCCATAGCATTCAACAGCTGGACTAAGCCTGCATAACAGAGATAGGGGGAGTGGGAGATAAAACTGAAAAGAAAAATCCTAAATATACTACAAAAATATTATATCACCTTTACTAAAAATCCTTTTTACTTTTACAGCAGCGCTACGGATTATGTTGGCACTATATAAATAATAAAATGATTTTTATGTTGGAATGCGTACCATGTATATACATAGATTTTGACAAGCATCATTTTAACAGGAGAACTGTTATATTATGAAACGACCTTGGTTTATGTAACAGAACGTACTGAACTGTAACCTAATGTAATGCAGTGTGAAATGTTGTTATGGTATTAAATTATTGTGCTGTAATGAGAGTGAACAGCTTCACCTGTAAATATAATGACATATAGAGTATTAGATAGATAGATAGATAGATAGATAGATAGATAGATGTTCAGTATAGATAGATAGATAGATAGATGTTCAGGATAGATAGATAGATAGACAGATAGATAGATAGATAGATAGATAGATAGATAGATAGATGTTCAAGATAGAGAGATAGATAGATAGGTAGATAGATAGATGAATAGATAGATAGATAGGTAGATAGATAGATAGATGGATAGATAGATAGATAGATAGATAGATGGATAGATAGATAGATAGGTAGATAGATAGATGGATAGATAGATAGATAGGTAGATAGATAGATGCATAGATAGATAGATAGATAGATAGGTAGATAGATAGATAGATAGATAGATAGATAGATAGATAGATAGATGGATAGATGGATAGATGGATAGATAGATAGATAGATAGATAGATAGGTGGATAGATAGATAGATAGATAGATAGATAGATGGATAGATAGGTAGGTAGAAAGATGGATAGATAGATAGATGGATGGATAGATAGATAGATAGATAGATAGATAGATAGATAGATAGATGATGGATGGATGGATGGATGGCAGGCAGACGAACAGATAATGATCGACAGAATGAATAAAAATATTAGAATTAATCAAATAAGTGCCTATAAATTCAACCCTAGATTAAAAAAAGGCATTTTAAGTTTGAAATCCAGCCCAATAAATCAAATGGTGATTCGAATTGCAAGATGAATAAACAGACACGACAGTTTAATGATAAATCATAAAATACCTTTATAAGACAGCTGATTATTTACATATATTAAATGCATTTTATAGTACCTGGTAAATGTATATTAATATCAATATCTGTATTTATAACCATTACAATACCGCTAGTCCTGGAATAATATAAATGGCAAAGCCAAAGCACTATTCTGGAGTAAGCCTTCTAATGATGGAATCCAGAATGTCCCCCAACTCCCCAAGCATGGAAGTTCTATGAGCTGTGTGTGAGACTGCATGCAGAGACTGAAGGGGGCTAGAATCCTGTCTCTCTCCCTGTGACTGTTTTAATGCAGGTTTCTGGGTATAATATCCTTCACACTCCTTAACTTCTTCTCCTCACCTGCTAATCTCAGCTCACAACTCACTCTCTTTCTTCAGGCTGAAGTAAATAGCTGAATGGGAAGGGGGATAGGTGACCCCCACCCCCACCTGTCACAACTCGTTCTTCACTGGGGTCTTCAGTAATGCATGACAGCCTTTTGTTTTGCCTAAAAAAATCCCAGCCCCTCCCACCCAATGATCAGAAAATGGGTTGGTTTGTGCTCTTCACAAATTGTTCTGCTCCCCATGCAGATCTGCTGTCCAAGCTTTGGGAGAACAAGGGGTGATGATTATTACTTAAAAGAATTCTTCTGCTTCTGTTGCCCTGCATTGTTACATCCAGAGAGCACATTCTGCAAGTTGTCCCATGTCCCATCTGCTCTGATACTTTGTAACTGATGGTCTCCTGTTGGTGTATCTTCAGGTAGACCGAGGCTGAGTGTCTGGAGGTCAATCACACATCAACACATTTGTTGTTTCCTGGAGCTTGGATGCTGGAAGAACTTTGGGGCTCTGTATATGGAAATTGTGGGGTGTCGTTCAGAAGAAAGTGCCTACCCTTTCAGACCAGCAGCAATGCTCTTCCATGGGATCACTGGGGGGCACATTCAAGGCATCATGGAAGAAATGGAGAGAAGGTCCAAATCAGCAGATAGCCGCCTGGGCAAAGCTATTCAGGTCAATGGCAGAGAGACAGTAAGTTCTGCTTAAACTTTAAGTGTATGATTTATATTCAGTGTGTCATTGAACTGTTTGCATCTAAAATACATGCATTCTGATAGGGAGAGGGTGGGATGAGGGTCCCTTAACGTGGAAAAAAAAGGATCAAAACTGTTATTATTTAAGAAAAACTGTTATTATTTAAGAAAAACTGTTGTTATTTACTATATGTGAGTTTGAAAGAAATAAGGCTAGAAACTGTTAAAGACAATTTACAAACCCCCTTTAAGTACAAATTAAACACGTCTATTGTAATGCTGGATTAAGATCCTATTCTGCTCCTCTTTGCAATGAATGAATATCTCAAAATGTTAGCAGGCAACTGAACTGTTGGTCTTTAAGCAATATAAAGCGACATTACTGTGTCAAAATAAATAAGAATCCTATTATCCCTATAGCAATAGTCTTCACATCGACCAATTATCATTTTGAATATCGTGAAAAAAACCAACTTTCCTCAATTATTATTAAAAAAAATAAAATAAGAACAATATTTAAAGGCATTTTAAAATTCACGTTTTCAAAGTGTATTAATAGAAAAATAACTTTTAACTAAACATATTTATATTGAATGAATTATAGCGTAAATGTAAAACAGTTATTAAATAACTGATGAGCTGTATTTATTTCTAAATACTAAATGTTTATTTTGAATGAGTTTAAAGTCAATACACATATAACTAAGCCCCTAAATAATATAAAGTCCTGTGATTCATATATAAACAAATAGACTGATAGACAGACTACACAGATAAAAATTGTATTTTGATGACTGTATAATTAGATACATAAAAATAGCTAATTAACATTTTCAAATAAAAAAAATAGGTATTGCTTAAAATAACGGTTTGCCAATTAGTTAATATTATTGCAGCTAAATATTAACATCAAACAAGTTAAGCAAGGCATGGAAAAAAAACCACTTCTGTCATTTGAATTATTGTTGAAAAGCAAATAATATAATATTTTTTTAAATTAATATATATTGCAATATAAACACATTGACAGTTGTATATAGCCATCATCCATTTGATTGTACTGACTGCATTATTGTGTATTAATGATGCTATTTTTCTAATAAATACATTTAGGTTATTTTATTGAAATCATTTCTCCACTGCTTAAAACTAATTTTTAATGCTTTTCAATAAATTCATTACTAGGTTGAACATGATAAATATACAAATATGCAAACGATAACATATTCATTAAAAGCAAATCACAGACGTTTGTTGTGAATTCAGTAACTCTCTATATGACCTTTCTCATATTTATATTATACTTTAGGTTTTACTCTTTACTAAAGCACATTATTACTTATTAAGATATGTTTTCTATAAATTGAAATACGATTGTATCATTTTTATACAATATGTAATTTGTCAGTTTAGAATTAGCATCACTGAGACACATGCACTGATAATTTAATATCTATCAACGTTTTATTATATTTCATTTAGATTTGATGTGTTGATAAAAGCTAGGGCTAGGCTATATTAGGCTATATAATAAAAACCACCATATACACTAGGATTTTGTTAACAGATACCTTAAATATAAATACAAAATGTATTTTACACATTAGCAAATAGCCCACGTTTCCACCTTTTTTCTACATATATTATTTTATATACATTCTACAAAAAACAGCAAGAATAAGTAAGGCGATGCTAATTGGGGTGAGTATAGAACACAGATTAGACAGAGATCAAGCCTCATTAACGGATAAGGGGTATTTTTCCCTACTTTAATAAGGTCTCTGGGGAGATATACAGACAGATACTAATGTGTTAATACCGCTGAATATTTAGAATCTCTGCTGGACTTAAGCCGTGTCTGATGCAAGCAAAAAAAAATAAATAAAAAATAAAATAAAATAAATAAATAAGTGTAAAATAAAATAAGGTAAATTACATTAAACATTATATTAAAATACATTATGTATGAATTAAGTTAAATTACATTACAATGTCCTTTATATTTTAAAATATATATTTCTATTATTTAGATTATAAAACATTAGATCTATAATTTAAATATAAATATATGTATATATATACATATTTGCAGGGTGTTAAAATAAGTAGCACTGAGGATAATAGGGACGAATCTATCAATTCCAGCATTAAATATTTAAAGCAAGATTTATTTAAAGAACCTTTATATTGCAATAGGGTCTGCAATGCAAAGTAAAGAGGAGAGCCCCTTATTAAATAGGCTGTGTACAGGTTTATTATATTTTGGAATTTATATTTTACAAGCCATAGACTTTTTTTAAAAGAGAAGTGTCTATGGTGTACAATAAATAAGTTATATAAAATATTAATATAAAAAAATAAAATAAAAATGGATTATATTTACATTAAGTAAATTCAAAGCAGGTTTAACTGGGACAATAAATTTCAAGCATAAATAGGTTTTCTTTTTAAAATGAATTATTAACTGTATATATAGATCAGTTTAATAACAACGCTAATAAAAATTAAGATATAATAATATAATAATATATATTAATATTATTATTATTATTACACTGATGCTTGTTATTTTGTTGGTGATTGTTTAATTCAATTTGTCGTGACTACTTTGCTAGTGTTATAATTTGATTATGCTAATTTGGAAATGTTCAAATTTTAGTTATAATTATAAGTCCTGCAAAATATCTTATTATCATTGATATGTACATTTTTTTCTTTTTTCACTCACATATCATTTGACCCTTTAGATTTGAAATGGTCAAAAAAAGGCCTTCAGTATTTGTGTCATTCTGTACCTGTAATCACAGAGCCCATGGTAATGTGGGATATATTGATACTATTTAAATGTAACTTAATAACAAATTAGCCATTGATGCCATTTATTGCCATAGTTATCTGTTGAAGTAGAATGCTGCCTGTCCTGTAGTGTGTCTGCGTATTAGATCATATACATCTTGTTCAACATCATATAATCCTATATTATATCTCTGATTACTATGGTAGCCACCACTCCATGGATTCTAGTTATTAACCCCTTACTTTGAATTGTTCTTTGTAGAAATTATTGTACATTCATATAAGTATGGCAATGTCCAACTATGCATATATATTTATTTACAAATACATATAGAAAACCAAGCAAGAGTAGTATACTTTTTGAAGCATAGCCTTATATTAAAATTGATTTTGAACATTTTAGTTTATTGGCCTATTAGCTCTGTGATACCTATTGTATTGTAGTTTAGATTTTCCAAAGTCCACTTAGATTATGAGTAGAGAAACGGTCCACGTATGTGACTCAGTGTTTAGTACAATATATGCATATTTATTTATATAGGACCAACAGGTGCCCTCAGTGATGCCGACTTGGTATTATCATATAGTGTAGGTAAGTACTCTTAAGATTTAGAGACATTGTAATAGGAGGTCTAATAGATATACAGACAGTAGAGTATCTATAGAAATTACAATCTAAAACATTGTGTACGATGAATTTAGGATCCCAATACAGCCACTACCATCTAACAAGTCTTGATGGCACTCTTAACTCCCCTTAAAAGCCATGTTGGTGGATATAACTACATCCTGAGTATGTTACAGTAAATCTCGTTATATGTTTTGGTGTACACAACAACTTAGTAAATGTTCCGTGAGCACAGTAACTATATCCAGAAAGTCACACCAGGGAGTATACTACATGATGAAATTAATATTGGTTCTGCAATTCTACCTCAATCTTATGTTGATGCAATAACTACCTTTGAATAGTATAGAAAGCTTTTATGTCCTAAATGTCACATATATACAGTATTTCCTGAATGGTTTTATACTACTACCTTTTTTTATACTTTACTTCCTAAATTCTATGTTGGTACTCTACTTACTTATTTAATGTCATGTTGGTACCCTACCTACTTCCTAAATATTAGGTCAGTACACTATCTACTTCCTTAATGTTATGTTGGTACACTACCTACTTATTTGATGTTATATTGGTACACTACCTACTTCCTTAATGTTATGCTGGTGCCCTACCCACTTCCTAAATAATAGGTCAGTACACTACCTACTTCCTTAATGTTATGTTGGTACACTATCTACTTATTTGATGTTATATTGGTACATTACCTACTTCCTTAATGTTATATTGGTACATTATCTAGTTCCTGAATGTTATGTTGGTACACTACCTACCTCTTTGATGTTATATTGGTACACTACCTAGTTCCTAAATTGTTATGTTGGTACACTATCTACTTCCTTAATGTTTAATTGGTACACTACATACTTCCTTAATGTTATGTTGGTACCCTACCTACTTCCTAAATATTAGGTCAGTACATTACCTACTTCTTTAATGTTATATTGGTACACTACCTACTTCCTTAATTGGTACATTATCTACTTCCTTAATGTTATATTGGTACATTTAGTTCCTGAACATTATGTTGGTACACTACCTACTTTATTAATGTTATGTTGGTACACTATCTACTTCCTTAATGTTATATTGGTACACTACCTGCTTCCTTAATGTTATGTTGGTACATTACCTACTTCTTTGATGTTGTATTGGTACACTACCTAGTTCCTGGATGTTATGTTGGTACTCTACCTACTTCCTAAATATTAGGTCAGTACACTACCTACTTCATTAATGTTATGTTGGTACACTGTCTACTTCCTTAATATTAATTTGGTACACTACCTACTCCTGGATGTTATGTTGGTACAATACCTACTTCCTGGATCCTGGGCTGACCCACTGCTTCCTTAATCTTATATCTGTACAATATGTACTTCATACATATTTAGTTTTACATTGCTCCATCTTGAGAGGTACGCTAGTCCAGTAACTACATCCTAAATATTATGCGCTACATCACCTACATCCTAAATCTTATGACCATTTATTACCTACTTCCATTGCAGCAATGTTTTATTGGTACCATGTTAGCCAGTTAACTACATCAGAATAAAATAACAGAAAAAGGTATAAATTATACCTTTATCGACTAACAAAAGAGGGATATTTTGTAAGCCTTCTGAATACTAATGTACCTTTATCAGACATCCTGAAAGCTTGCAAAGTATACGTTCTTTGGCCAATAAAGATATCAATAAAACATTTTTTTATTTATTCTCAGCCATCTACTTCCTAAATATCCCATTTGTATAGTACCCAGTTCCTCAATGTGATGTCAGTATAGTAACTGTTTCCTAAATAATGGTGAGGTAACTACCTCTCAGTGAACGTTATGTATTTATGGGACATACTGTACTTCCTGAAGGTTATGTCTGTGTATTAGCCTTTGTACTTTTCAGTGTTCTGTCTGTAAAGTATCTACTGTACTTCCTGTGCGCGATGTCTGTAAAGTACCTACTGCAATTCCTGAATGTGATGTCTGTAAAGTACCTACTGTGCTTCCTGAAGTTATGTCTTTGCAGTACTGACTGTACTTCCTGAAAGTTATGTCTATACAGTATCTACTGTACATCCAGAATGTTTTGTCTGTTTAAAACCTACCATACTTCCTGGATGTTATATCTGGACATAAACTGCACGACTTCCTGTACAATATGGTGCTTCCTAATATTTTATCGACTGTACTTCCCGAATGCTATGTTGGTGCAGTAACTATTTGTGAGCGGTAATAAAACACTAAGTTACGACCACCTGAGTGTTTTATGTTTTGTCTGTACAGTACCTGGTATTTAGGCTTCCTGAATTTTGTCTGTACAGTACCTATTTCACTCACCATACTTCCTGAATGCCACGTACATGCATTTCACTTCCTGAATGCTATTTGTGCCATACCTGTTACACTTCCTAAATGCTAGGTCTGACTGTGCAGTACCTATTGTAGTTCCTGAATTCTGTATCTTTGCAGTATGTATTGTACTTCCTGAATGCTATGTGTGTGAAATACCCATTGTACATTCTGAATGATATGTCTCTGAAGCATCTATTGTACTTCTTGAATGTTATGGCCGTCAGTCTACATAATGTTTTTCAACTGTACCAATTACTTTCTTGTGTTCGTACAATAAGTTATTTTCCCCCTTTGGTAATGCCAGTGTAGTAATCTCCTGTACACGTGTCTAAATTCATTTACTGCTAGTTCTCCTATTCTATGTGCATTATAATAGCTTAATATGTGGATATTTACATTAAAATATGTATTGTTTTTACAGTAATAGTCCTTTCACTTCTATATGGCAATATTACCGAAATTATATTGTTTGCCTTGTATCAGTTCAGTGTGGTATTATCTTTGATATGAGGATAGTAGCTCACAGCAATGCAATAATACCAGTGTGTGAGATATTTCTTTTGGGTACGTTAAGAGATGCATAACTGCTCCCTGCCTTTAACATCAATATCAATGTTAAATATCAGTATATTAACTCCACTCTAAATCAGTAAATGAATTGACCTGAATATTAATATGCAAGAACTTGTCCTACCTTTAGGCCGGGCCTTAGGCTAATTAGGGCAATGAAAAAAACAAATCTTTCCCAACTAAAAAAATAATCTAAATACCATCAGCGTTCTCTAGAATGAAATACTAGTTCCAACAGAACATTATCGAATAATTTTTCTGCACAGCTTGTACTGTTCACAGACCAAATCTAGCTATAACATGTTGGTGCTTTTGATGCCATTGCAAAACCTGCTATTTCACTGAATGAAAATAATTTAAATATGTATATTTTATTTATAATGCAAGTTATACAGTAACAGTCTGGAATAGTTAACCTTGCCTTGCTTCACCTATAGCGGTCGCTCCATAAATAACTGCCTTTGGTGTACAGGACCTGATCATGAGGCAACAAATCCTTAAAGAGACAATAATACTTTGCCCTATATTTAGATTTTATACATGAGCATGTTTAAGAGAGTTGCGATATACATGTAGCACTATTTTCACTTTTATTACTCCACAAGATTTTCATTTATAGCTGACAAATGGCTGTCATTAGTTTATGGGGTTTTTTTTGAGTAGTTTATAGTCACTGATCAGAATGTCAATTAAAGCTGGATTCTGATTGGTCGAAAAACCAAGATGCTTATTAAATCACAAGTGTGATTGCTAGGGGGTGATTTAACTCCCCGAAGGTCTTTTTACTTTTCTATTCAGGATTCTCAACAATTCAGCAGGAAAATACATAACAGAAAAATCCCATATTTTTCACACATATTTCAATTTGTAAAAGCCTGCTGTTTGATATGAGAGACATTTATATCAATTATTTACCCTTATGATATCGTGTGTGTATTTCTCCACTATAGTAACCGCCCTCTCCAAACACACTAAGTAAATGTGAGCTCATTAATTATCTACTGCCAGAGGCCCAGTCCCCCATTTTTAAACCTTAGTATAGTAATTCACCATGTTAAAAAGTATCCAAAATTAATACAATAACTCTTTCTTCTTAGTGCAAGCTATATTTACAATAAACGGTGCTGTATTTAAAAAAGGAAGTGAGTGGTATTCTATTTCTGTATGCTTTTAAAATGTCGTCGTTTGATAGAGTGACATTTTAATAAAAGCACATTTGTAAGAGTTTTGCGATATCACAGCATCATTAAAATACCGCAAGTCATCCTTGACATTATCTATTCTTCTCCATACCTTTTCTTTCCATACTTCTACTTTTTATGAGGTTTTATTTTATTTTTTATTTTCCATTCTTTCCTGCCACTGACACTTTGTATGTTAATGTTCTTTTCTGGACATACAGTATGAAGTTTTGGTTAGTGGTGGCTCTGCATATTCATGGTTACTGTATGGAATAAGTGTTGTTCTGGAGAACACTGCCGGTAAAGTAAAGTTACGATTTGGATTTTATGATTGTTTTGTTCTAGGCTTGGGTAGTGATTACTGTTAGGTGGGCTTGAAAATTCACGGGGGACTTAAGATAGGAAGTACTTGCCATCAAACGACTGTGCAGCTAGCTAGCAACGTTATATGTTGTTATAATGATGGCAACAGGCTTAACATGTCATCTTTTATGTTGACATATAAAAAAAGTAAAACCTATATAACAATACGATGTATATTTCACCATTAAAAAACAAACAAAACCTATCCATATTTTGACTGCTCCCTGATGGCCTTGTGAAAGTGAAAATAATCTCAGATTTTTTGCTGTAATTAAAGTCACAGTGACTTGGAGTGGATGTCCAACGTATGGTGATTGCTAGCTTGTTACATTCACCTTACGGTTACGGTTTCAGCAGTACCTCATTTTCTGGCACCCTTACTTGGAAATGCTACAAACAAAGAAGCTGGGTGGGGATCTTGATTTGTATTGAATCTTCTTTGCGTGATATGTTTGGCTATCCCACAACCACCCTGCGAGGGGAGTTTATTACAATAATTACACTATGTGAATGATGTCATTTTAATTCTGTCCCTTGATGATGATGTCACTTCAGTGTAGGTGGCCTTACCATGTATGCAGCTGGTTGGAGGCCCCATTGAACTAAATCCACTTCTCAGAAGATGGAGGGAGGAAATTACCTTTCTAAATGTAACAAATGATTCTTTTAATGTTATACAAAAACGTGTAGCCATGTGTGTATGCATTTCGTTCCTTAATTTGTATATATATTAAATTTTCTTTAATTTCTTTAAAGGGACACTATAGTCACCAAAACAACTTTAGCTTAATAAAGCCGTTTTGGTGTATAGATCCTGCCCTTGCAGTCCCACTGCTAAATTCTCTGCCATTTAGGAGTTAAATCACTTTGTTTATGCAGCCTAGTCAATAAATTATGTCTGATTGAAAATGAAACAATTTTGTCATGCAGGTTGTGTCAATCATAGCCAGGGGAGGTGTGGCTAGGGCTGCATATACTGAAACAAAAGTGATTTAACTGCTAAATGGCAGAGAATTGAGCAGTGAGACTGCAGTGGCATGATGTATACACCCATACTGCTTCATTAAGCTGAAGTTGTTTTGGTGACTATAGTGTCCCTTTAACCTAACAGCCTGTCAAAATTAGGGGTTTATTACCTAAACAAAGAACTGTAATGAATTGAAAACTGAATTGCAAAATGTAAACTAACAAAGCCAAATTGGAAAATTCCCCAACTCAGCTAAAGTAAAGTTTTACCCAATTTAGGTTAGATATATATACATTTTGTAGCTGGGTTTATAATTTCCTATATTTGGTGTTCTTGTGTTCCTGGCTGATGCCTGGTGTGTGATTATTGTTCAGAAATTACAGTAACTTTCTCCTATCATATTCCAACAGCGAATGCCCCCTCTGAGTCCAGAGAAACCCGCCCTTTGCGCAGGATGTGGTGGGAAGATCTCAGACAGATATTACCTCCTGGCCGTGGACAAGCAGTGGCATCTGCGCTGCCTCAAGTGCTGTGAATGTAAACTAGCTCTGGAATCTGAGCTAACATGCTTTGCAAAGGATGGCAGCATATACTGCAAGGAAGACTATTACAGGTACAGCACCGTGTTTGACATGTATAGTACATACCCATACTGCAGCAAAGTTCATGGTATACTACAGGTACAGCACTGTGTATCACAGTATATACCCATACTGCAGTAAAGATCATGGTATACCACAGGTACAGCACTGTGTATCACATGTACAGTATATACCCATACTGCAGCAAAGTTAATGGTATACTAAAGGTACAGCACTGTGTATCACATGTACAGTATATACCCATATTGCAGCAAAGGTCATGGTATACTACAGGTACAGCACTGTGTATTACAAGTACAGTATATACCCATACTGCAGCAAAGGTCATGGTATACTACAGGTACAGCACAATGTATCACATGTGCAATATATACCCATACTGCAGCAAAGGTCATGGTATACTACAGGTACAGCACCATGTATCACATGTACAGTATACACCCATACTGGAGCAAAGAATATAATATTATAGGTACCCTATTGTGTTTTAAATGCATAGTATATTATAAATCTAGTTTGTGACCTTCAAAACTTTTTCATTTGACAGTTTGAATAATTCATCACCCATGAAAAATACTCAAATGGGAGCAAAAATGGGCCAATCAGTGTACTGCAAATATACACATAATACATATGTCATAGATATATTCTGCAGTGCACTGTGAGGCGCATTCTCACTCTACTTAGTTCACAGATCAAGTGATAAAAAGTAACAGACTATATATATATATATATATATATATATATATATATGCGCTGGATCGTATATGCTGTATGTGTATATATGTTCTTTTCTGCCTCTCCAGTTTGTCTCTATTAGTCACTTTTTTATCTGTGAATAAAATTAACATTTAGTGACTACTCCCTAACCATTGATGATATATTTTTTCCCCATCAGTCATCTCTATTTTTTGTGCCACAGACAGAACTCTGAATCTTGAAGAAAGTGAACATGCGTGTCCATCCTGCTATGTGTATGTTCATTTATACGTCTGTCTCCTAAATACTGAAGTGTAGAACTATATTGCAGTTTTAGGCTGATCTGGAAAAAAACTCCAAGTTGGTTATAGTCAGACTTTGGATATTTGAACCTGAATTTTCAAATAGAGTGGACAGTTCACTACAATGTGGTGTTTAATGCATAGGCCCGTTTATAGTATATAAACCATAAGTTATATAGGCATGGATTTTTCAAATTTTAGCCAGAACAGAGAAATATTAAAAATGATCCAGGTAAGCTATTTCCATGGCTTTTACTTGTCAATTCACCATGATTCTTGGTTTAATGACCAACACCCTGTGACATATTAGAGGAACATCACTAAGCACAACATGCACAATATCTACATATTTTGCAAGGAAGACCAAGTTATATTACACATACAACACTATGCTTTAATTGAGAAATTCTGTATTGGATAAATGATTGAAACACCAGTAGTGTCCCAAATTTGAATAGAGTTTGTTATAGGAGGGTAGGGTGTTTGTAGAAGTGACCTTTGGGCCTTTGGAACCCAGAATTGTGGGAAGTCTGTTCCAATGAGGAGAGATTGCAGGTCTACCCAACATCTCTTATCTGGGGGTATCAGGTACCCACCTGGGTCAACTTAGCTGGTAATTAATTGAGATACAGGTGGGAAAGTTCCAAACCACTTTTAGTGAGATATCGGAAATAGGGATACAAATACATAAAATCAAAAGAGATTAAATGACAAACAGAGTGGAAGAGGAGAGTGAATGGGCAATTGACAACCCACTTATCTGTTTCATTCCCTGGGCAAAGCCTTTGTGCACCTACAGTCTTTGGCATAGGGAGCGGACTTCAAGGGTGGAGATGCAGTGCCCTAGCGAGTAACAGGCTGCACAGGCAGAAGGTAGCAGGTTTTGCACAATGCAGGTGTAGATAAAGGGGAGAAACAAACCATCACTTTTAAGGAGATTTGGGAATTAGGGATAAAACAAATGGAATAAAAAGATCAAGTGGAAACACCCACTCACCTATGTCATTCCCAGGGTGAGTGGGTTTTGTTCCATGGCTATTGATGGCCAATTTTTTTTAAACCGCTTCAAAACAGAGTGACCAAGAAAATGTGGAATGGTGCCCATAGCCTTCTTAAACCTCAACTGCTGCACTGAGCTTTTGTAGTTATGGTTCGGATAGTTTCCCTTTAAGAGAGCAAAAGAATAGATTCAATATGTAAGCATAGTTATATCTTACATTATAACAATGCATGTACATTTTATACCATTGTATTTTAATATGAAAACATGAAAGAAAGGAAAATCTGGGAGTATTGTGTATAGGAAAGGTACATATAGTGAAATCGCACACCTAACTTTAAGTCTACATCTACGTGGATAGTCAAAGAGGCAGAGTTTCACATATTATTATTCTAAAAGAGTTCTAAAAGAGGTGGATTAGGTAGTGAGATAAAACAGTGGGTTAATGCGTTGTGTATTATAGGGGTTTGACCATTAAACCAGAAATTGCAAATATGAATTCAAGCCAAGCTGGAAAAACTACTGAATTGGCAAATATTTTGGTTTTTAAAAGTCTGATTTAATGCTATGGAGACACACACAAATCAAGGAGATGCAAAATATCCCTGGGGGAAGGGGTGGTGGAGGGTAGTTGCTTATTTAAAAAATAATAATAAGTACTTATCCTACTGAAAGTTAGTCCTATCACTTCAACTTAGATTGTCAGTTGTGTATTCAGGGTTCCTTTTTCTCTTCACTTTATTTGTTATATAGTAGTTATACGTTTTTTCCATCGATTATTTGTGTGATTTGCAATGTTTTTTTTGTATACCTAAAATTACTTGGAAAAACAATGACAAAAAAAAAAAAAGAGATAAAGACATTTAACTGCAAAATCTTTGGGAAAAAAGCAATAAGCAAAATATTAGATCTAAAAACAAACTGGTGTTTCAGTTTAGCTGCATTGGCTCCTAAAGCAGGTAGCACAAAATATCACAACACAGGAGAGTGCTTTATGTTAATGTGTGTACATATCTGCTTGTTGGCCACTTGTGAGCCACCAGTCTTCCACCATCAATTCCACATGATTTTTTCCTCTTTATTTAACCGTCCCAGACCAAGACTCCACCCTTACCAAGGTTACTGATCTTTACTCAGCTTTTAGCCATTTTAGACTGCTCTGTTACCATTAGTTTCCTGACCATTTTCCTACCTTTAACCATCCCATCTTTAACCATCCTCCTTTCACCGTACAGCTGCCCACCTTCAGAGGAGCACCCTTCCCTCCTACACAATACCCAGTTGTACACCTACTTAAAGAACATTGTCACCTCAACACCACCTCCCCCATTTCTGAACATTTTCCCCTCTGAGAACACAGCTCTCCTTGGCCAATACACAGCCTCCAGAACACAGTCTTCCTGTCCCAATGCTAAGCCTCTTTGTGCAGTCATCCATTTATTACTATGAGGCCCATCTGCTGGATTCTCCTATTAATGTGGTGATAACAGGCTCTAGATCAGTACACCAGTCAGGCCCTAGTTCCCTTGTGGAAAAAAGAGCCCTCCGATAACAGTATTCTTTCTGAGCAGTTCAGAATGGTTCTTAATGGGTAGCTTATCAAGGTCGAAAATGATGAAGAACGTCATTGGGTTCATGTGCCAGGTAGACCACATTTTGTCCTGTAATGGATTATTCCAGGCTGCACAGGGCTTTACGGGATACGTACAGCACTGCCAATGGAAGCAGAGACAGTGATTTACTGCAAAAGAAGCACATTCACAATATAGCTTTTAAAATTATTATATATTTTTTATAAAAAAATAGTCTTCAATCATTGAAGATACCAGGTGGCCAACAAGATGAGGATCAAATTATAAACATAGAAATAAACGGGAAAGGAGCACCTGAATCAGGGAGGACTATGTCTGATTCATGAATTTAAAACTGATTCTTGATAGTGAAGGACCTCAATAGTATTTTAAGTTATGAAGTCCAGTGTTTCATTGCTGATTGTTAAGCGTTATTATTATTTTGACTTTTTGGGATGTAATTATTATGATGAGTTTAAAGTCACTTGAGTTAAGAAGGAATAAACTATGATTATTACTGGTGCGTTAAACATCTCTCTGAACATTAGTGATGATGTAGTACTAACACTGAAGAAAAAGCAATACAAAAGAAAGCAATACAAAATGGGATAATTTGATCAATGTATATCTGATGACAGCATAACTAATAAGAGATGCTGGTGACCAGATGAACATAAGATAGACAGAACACAAGATATGATTGCACTGATTTATATATATTTTATCTCAAATTCCCTGAAAATGTATACATTTAGCCATCATGTAATGATGTAATGGGTATCATGAAGGACCATATTATAAAGAGCTGTGGAATAAGTCGACAAATAATATAAATAATTCTTATTGTATTTGGGTACAAGTCAATGCTCCTCGGTAAATGATTATTCTGCTTGTCTCCAGAAGGTTTTCTGTGCAGAGGTGTGCCCGTTGCCACCTTGGTATCTCAGCTTCAGAAATGGTAATGAGAGCAAGAGAATCTGTCTACCACCTTAGTTGCTTTACCTGCACAACCTGCAACAAGACCCTGAGTACTGGAGACCACTTTGGAATGAAGGAAAACCTTGTTTATTGTCGGGCCCACTTTGAGCTTCTGGTCCAAGGGGACTTTCATCCACAACTCAGCTACACTGAGCTATCAGCCAAGGGAGGAGGGCTGGCTACCCTTCCGTACTTCAGTAATGGGACAGGTGCAGTTCAGAAGGGAAGGCCAAGAAAAAGGAAAAGTCCAGCTTTAGGAGTGGATATCATCAACTACACTTCAGGTGGGTTACCTCTAAAACTCAATATTAACATTACCCACTGTGTCTTATTCATCTTTACTTAACTTTTTAATCTTTAGAAAAAAAAGTACTATCGTGTAGTCATTTATTATATGCACTCATATCTATGTCTGAATATAATAAACTACTACGCTATATTACTTGTGTTACTTTTCCTACGTGTTTCCTTGATGATGGATGTTGAATAAAAATTCTCTGTACCTGTATTGGTGGTATTTATTCCTAAAATATATATATATTTTTAAAACATTTTAAATATAAGATATATATATTTTTTTATAGTCATTATTTTATGTTAAGTTTTTTTTTTGTTTGTACTTCGGGGTGAAGTGTTCTTTGTGCCTTGCCCCTTTTTGGGGGATTTCTTCCTGTATTATATTTATGTTATTTATTCTTGTGTGAGGCTTCAAAATGAGTTTCCTGTGGCCACTTTTGTGTAATTTGCCTAATAGACAAAATGGTGCCGTGGTCAAAATATATAATATATATATATATATATATATATATAAAAAAATATATATATATATATAAATATATATATATATTTTTATACATATCACAAAATACAGGCCAGGATCCATACAGGAAAGGCTGTTGAGATGCCAAAGATTCTGAGGTTTATATTTTGTGTTCATGAGTCAGGCATTAAATGTTACTGTCCTGTGACATTCAGGATTCCTGTCTCAGGTTTAAATTTTTTAATCCTTTAAGTTTGTCACACAAGCAAAAATGAATGTACGTCGTTATCAGTATTAAAGGACCACTATAGTGCCAGGAAAACATACTCGTTTTCCTGGCATTATAGTGCCCTGAGGGTGCCCCCACCCTCAGAGTCCCCCTCCCGCCGGGCTCTAGGGGGAGAAAGGGGTTAAACTTACCTCTTTCTCCAGCGCCGGGCGGGGGACTCTCCTCCTCCTCCATAGCGACGTCATTGGCTGAATGCGCATGCGCGGCAGGAGCTGCTCACGCATTCAGCCAGTCCATAGGAAAGCATTCTCAATGCTTTCCTATGGATGCTGGCGTCTTCTCACTGTGTAAATCACAGTGAGAAGCGTGGAAGCGCCTCTAGTGGCTGTCAATGAGACAGCCACTAGAGGCTGGATTAACCCTATTATAAGCATAGCAGTTTCTCTGGTTAATCCTAGCTGGACCTGGCACCCAGACCACTTCATTAAGCTGAAGTGGTCTGGGTGCCTATAGTGGTCCTTTAAAGAGCAGCCGGAGTGGTGTTGTCTGATAACCAAAGTTGTAACCCAATAAAAATAAGCTAGAGAACGAGAATTAAAATGAGAACAAGGAATCCATTCTAGATTTCTATATCATCATTACAGATTCTTAGATTAGTCATTATATTATATATGTAGTATATTAGTCATTAATACAATATTCCTATGGATACCTGTATGAGACAGAAATATTTTAGGGTTAGGTCATAGACACAGCCAGGCAACGTTTTTCTAAAAACTTTTCTATTACATTCATTTGAAACATTTACGGATATAAATGATGCACATGAATACATACTGTATTTCCATGACATAGTCTATTGTGATATTTTGTGCATGTTGGGAAGTCCCCTTTTACAGATGACTTTATTACAGGTATAGCAGAAACCAGATCTTGGAAGAGCCTGCAGTGGTGGCTCCTTCTTCCAACGCCCCTAGGCATTGTATCATTTAGAAATACAGGCTGGATGGTCAGGCGCTATGAAACACAACAGAATAATAATGTGATTTGAGGAAAACCTGGGCTGTACAAAGCAACTGAAAACATGCTTTTCTAAACAATTTATCAAGTCATTATCGTGGCCTTGTGTGCGTACATGTGGCAGATCCTTTGATTGGTTAAACTTATCACTTTTAATCTTTGTGAGAAAATACAAAGTTTTCCAAGTAATACTGGAGTTTGAAACTTCTGGCGATCTAGTCTCATGCCCTCTGATGCGTAATATATGTGACAGGACTTCTCCTGTGCTAATTATTTCCTATTAATTAGAATCGACACTGGAATCCCTTGGCCAGCAACCAGCATTTAATCACCCAGCAAAACCCATAATCCACATTTATCTAGGAACTTTTTGATTGCCACATGGGAGTACAATGCACCTGCACCTCTAACTAATTATATCTGACCTTTGCATATCTGTTGTGAGCTTGTGTGTGTGATTTTACACTATCCATTGCATAAAAAATACAAAAATAAAATTAAAAGACTAAAGTCTCAAAAAGTTGCTTATGCTCTCAAGTTTACTTTCAAATAAGAAGAAAATAATGGTACAATGTATTAATGATTCTGGAGAACATGCTGTTAATTCCACAGATAGGGCAGTTATCCAGATTCCAAATAGTCTTATGGGACTCACCGTTTGCACAATTCCTACCCGTGGACCCATCCTCCCCCACTTCCTGAAAAAGAAAAGCTCATTAAGGCAAACTTCTATAAAATATGGTTTCACTAGAAGGTTTGTCAGGGCCCCATTTGTAAAGAATTGTTTGATTCATAGATAACAAATCGAGCAACACAATAAACTATTTTATATCTATAAGAAATCAATCTAGAGTCATCTTGTGGCCATTCTTCTATTTCACGATGCCATCCTGATTATATAATTATTTATTATACTGTAGGATAAAATATTGTTCTGTTAAATATTCTTTTAGGGATTGCAGGAGACAAAATTTATATTACGTTTACAAACTGACTGTAACATGTAAATATAATATTATGCTATTAATATTAATTTATATTAGATGCAATAAAGAACAGTTGACACATGACAATAGATGTCCTGGATGAGCAGATACTGGATATTGAGCTTAAATATGTCTATTTCAATTTTTATATAATTTTCTTCTTCACTGTGAGAAGGTGACTCAGCCAGAATTCATGACTGCGTGAACTATGAAAGAAAAATTCAACTGATGTGATTGATAAAAAGGTGCTTGTTTCTACAAAGTAAAAACATATTTTTTTTTTTACATTTCAAGTATCTATATGTATATTTGCGTACCTAAACAGGACTTTTGATGACAGTAACAGTTTTTCAGCAGGATGGGTTAGCAGCTTTTCTTTCTGGGCAAAAAAAGGCTTCTCGAGGCTCCTTAAAAATAGCTCATGAAAAATAAAAGAAATTATTTTAAAATAATTGAATAAAGAAAACAAAAATGGAGCCCGAAGCTTATATTATTGTATATGAGGTTTATTAAATAAACACTGAATTGTAGTGATTTAAATCGTAATGGCAGAATTGTGGCTGATGTGGAGAAATTCTCAAATTCAACTAAAGTCACAGCTTGATTATTTTAGTCCCAGCTTAGCAATTCTGATTTTATTTGTTAGAATTCGGAGGTTAGTGCATTATGTGTGATTTTTTGGAGTCAACCAGTACATTATTCCAGTGTTTCTGTGATTATATCTTTATGTATGTAAATGTGTGTGTGTGTGTGTTACTAGTTTAATAAATATATTCTAAATCATGCTTATGAAGATGTAATGATGTAATACCGTTTTGTTTTAAAAAAAAAATTAACGCAATTAGTGACCACCTAAAAATTAACTCCATGTTAACTCAATTCATTAAGCAACTAATTGCATTTTATAATATACTACCATGGATGAAACAGAATGTATACTGTATACAAAAATCAACAATTTAAATAAAACTAGTATTTATGTAATGAATATAATAATTTGCCTTAAAAATTGAAAACAATTGCAATAGTCTCCAAATCTGTGTAATCATCATGTATCTGTATAACTATATATAACAGTCAGTATAAATCTGCATTTGAGAGCTACAGGCAAATATATATATATATATATATATATATACATACATATGTATATATAATTCTCTTAGTAGAATAAGGATTTACTCTGCTTACTGAATAAAAAGTTTCCCCTAGACTTTATCAGGTTAAATGTTAAACAGTAATGTGAAATCTTACTCTTTTAAGAAAGTATAACTCATAGTGTTTTTGATGACTTTGAACTGCTGTGACAGGCATTATATTAAATACTTTTGTTTGTTTCTATAATTTCCATTGTAATAATAAAATATAAACTCATTTTTATTTTTTTTATTCTATTTATTTGCATTTGGATCCTTACAACGAGACATCATGGGACTTGTAGTTCTACCAATACTTGATAAATTCTTAATTAATCTTAACTAGCAACCCCAAGCGGCTAAACATGGCTCATAAATATATGTATTCCCGTGAAGATATAGAAAGGAGGAGAAACATTGTTAAATTAAACTTTTACATGGCTTCTCTAAAATCTAATTACCCTCAACCAAAAAGGGATAAAACTATTTAAAACAACTTAAAAAGAAAAAAATCTGATGTTTAATTTAAAATATTCTATAGTTTAAAAAAATCCATCCTAAGAAACAAATTACAGAAATAAATACAGGAAGACAGCAAGAGTTCTTTAATACTTTAGCTAAAATAAGAAACTGCACAATATCACACTGTGTGCTAGTGCCCCCTAATGGTGCCTTGGGAGATAGATGAAACATTAAGGCAAACTATCCCATATCCTTCCCTGATCTCATATACCTGCCAATACTTTCCATTTTAGGAAGAATATCAAGGTATATATGTTACAATTTAGTTTGCTCTTTGGACATTAAATATGGTTATTACTATGCTCGTATTTTAATATAGAATATTCTATATTCTTATTACTTGCCCCCAACTACTTGCTCATCATCAGTAAAGGTATCATAGAATGCTGAACTATACTCAGTATAAAAAAAGGTAACTTGCACTCAGAAAATTTAATATTTTATTTGTTTAAATAAATAGTCAGTAATACCCGCTTTCCATATAAATGTACAGCAATCCCATTATATAGCTATATCTGACAATTAAAGTATAGAGAACTTAGAATGGACAAATAGCTCCTGATGACTTATTAGCATTAGTGTGTGAAACGCGTTAGCCTAACTTCTCCTGCGTTTCTCATTATAGCATCTGCATGTTTTTATTTGTGCATATTTTTAATAGCATTCAATTTACCAGCATGCTATGATCTACATTTTTATTATATAACTGATTATCAAAAAATACTGTGGTCAACTGAACAACAACAAATTAAACAAGAAATTAACTTATTCCTTAGAAATAGTTTCCATTACTTTCCCCAACAAACTATTTTTTTCATTTTAATTCATGAGTAGTATGTATTTGCACAATATAAAACATTTTAACAAAATACCATAATGTTTCATCTAGGAGACTATGACAGCATCAGAACATTTTTACTGTGTTAACATTTTTACTGTGTATAACCTGCAACTGCCTATAATTTCATTTTACCCCTTGTTATCATCTGGACCCTACTTGTGGTCATCAATAACATCTATTTTATTCTGTATTTAAGAATTAGAATTCTTTTTGCAAGAAAAATAATATGTCGCTTGATGTAGTCCAAATTTTGTTTTTTGTGTGTAGAAGAGTCATTGATAATTTCTTAATTTGTTGATATTCTTACCCAGGTTGCAATGAAAATGACACAGATATGGACCGCGATCAATCATACCCTCCATCTCAAAAGACGAAACGCATGCGAACCTCATTCAAACACCACCAACTCCGCACAATGAAGTCATATTTTGCCATAAATCACAACCCAGATGCAAAGGATTTGAAGCAATTGGCTCAAAAAACTGGATTAACTAAACGAGTGTTGCAGGTGAGATGATTTTGCAATTTTATAATTAATAGTCAGATATTTTCCCTGTGTGACATGTGAGTTCTTTGGTCTTTTAAATAGAGAAAGGAACTTATAAGCATAATGATACAGTGTAGTTATGGCAAATGGTATTGTGTGGTTTATATAGTTAATTCATCAATAGAATAGTCTATAGTTCATTAATGATTGGGTGACATTTAATTCAGGGCATTTAATAGAAAACCTTTGCTATCTGTCTAAACCAATAAAAAATGAGCAGCACTGGAAAGCTGTCTCATTTTTGAGTGAGTAGAAGCCCACATCAGGAAGCAGTTGCCCTTGGATGTTTAATATAAAATATAAGTGCTAAGCTATCTATAGTATTATTAAAAATGTGTATATTTATTTGTAGTATTATTGCAACAGAGCCCTTAGACATTTTTTTTAAAAAATTACCAATTCCATATAAGTGCCAATATTTCCAACTTTAGCTTAATGAAGCAGTTTTGGTGTACATATCATGTCCCTGCAGTCGCACAGCACAATTCTCTGCAACTTAGGACTTAAATAACTTTGTTTATAGGGCCCTAGCCACACCTCCTTGCATGTGACTTGCACAGCCTTCCTAAACTCATCATGTAAAGAGTCATCTAATATTTACACTTTCTTTATTGCAAATTCTGTTTAATTTAGAATTTCTTATCTCCTGCTCGGATAATAGCTTGACAGACCCTGCAGGAGCCTCCTGTGTGTGATTAAAGTTCAATTTACAGAGCAGGAGATGAAAACTTTTAAAGTAAGTCTCACTGCTTAGTGCTCTGCTGTTTGGGGATAAATCAGTCCTAGCCACACCTCCATTGGCTGAGACTATCACAGCCATTCTACACACTTGCTGAAAAAAAGTCAAAACATTTTAGGTTCTCTAATTGTAGGTGTTTACCCAAAATTTATATAAACGTGGACAACACATACTGAAGAACTAGTTAATAACACATGCAATCCTACACCATGCTTTCTATGAGTGTCCCCAACTAAAAATAATTATAAGCAAGTAATAAAACTTAACACTTCAAACAATTGGCACTTATATTGGCTATCAATTGATAATACTAGATTACAGGGCACTTTCCTGAATTCAAATCTACACATTTTTGATGATAGATTTCCTTCATATGATCTGTGATTTAATTTCAATCCCATCCTTACCTACTGTGAAGCACGTTCATTTTTCAGTCACGTACTGTACAGTAATTTCCTTGTCATTTATTTAAATGCAAACACATTTAAAATGAGCGTTGTACTCACAATGGTTGGATGATAAAGTCTGATAACATTTACTGGGTTATTTACCAGTGTGAGAATTGATGGGAGTTCAAAGTTAATTTCAATATTTAGGCCAAATGAGAAAAACTCTGTGGTCAGTTTGACTATTTTGAGCGTGAAATTTGAATTCCCGGCAATTCATATATTAATAAATAACCCTCTTAATCTGTACATTGTTCTGGCTCTATTTCTGGAAAATATATAGATTAACCATTACTTTTAAATGTTTGAATACCGGCCTCTTTAATCATCTACAAACACATCTACGTGCTCCCAAGACCAGTGTGGACTCCTGCAGGGGTACACGGCCTTTTGTTAGTACATAGATTGGGATACACTCCCTGCAATCTCAATACGAGTGAATGATACCCATACATTTGTTAGCAATGTGTCTAACATCATGTATACATTAAATGCTATGCTTTGTAAAGTGCTACCACAATGTCATATTTAAAAAAACAGGTGCACTTATTTGACATTTTTTTGCCAGTATGATGCTGTTTCTGTCAACAGAGGAAGGTAAAGTTTATTAACAAAATTATTGTGAGAGAACAGCTTCAAATAAAATAAGGAGTGCATTTTAAACACAGAAAAGATAAATAAATAAGTAAATAAAATAATCGGTAAAAGGCATGCCCTGGGATTGGTTTGCAGGTTTGGTTTCAAAACGCACGGGCGAAATTCAGGAGGAATCTTTTGCGGCAGGAAAATGGGGGAGGCGATAAAGTGGAAGGTCCCTCTCTCAGCGCCCCAGCATCCGCGGACAGTGCTGCATTAACACCAACCGGTGCAGCATCCACATTATCAGACCTCACCAGTCCCTCTCTAAATGTTGGGGGATCTGTCACCCCAAATATGGACACCCATGATTCCGGGAGCCCGTCTCAAACAACTCTCACCAACCTTTTTTAACACCTTCTGTGGCCCTCTCCCCAACATTCCTCATGACATACATTTTTCTTTTGTAAGACTGTGCATTCTTCTTATCTTTTTTTTTGTTTTTTGTTCATTAAATGAAATAAAACTACAACCTGCTATGGAGGATATAAGAGCTTAACAGCCATTCAGTGACTTATATACAGCATATAGGCATTGTTTGTGTGTTGTCCTTCATTGCCAGGAAAGTATGAGGTGACAAGGAAAGGATGTATATAGAGAGACAAAAGATGAAGAGTTACAAGCCATGAACAACCCTTCATAAATGTTTGGAAATCTGTGGATTACTTACTCCTGAGACATATCATTCAATGTTAGAGTACGGGGCAGCAGTGTGTTGTGTGTGGCTAGACGGCTTGTATGATGTCATCCTCACACTATGTTCCATAATATTTTCCTTTTCACTGTGATCCTCTATTATCAATACCCAATTACCCTTATCACTGTGACTGTCTATTTACTGATGTCACAGACATATCACCATTTAACTGGTTTTCTGTGAGTCCAGCTGTTTGTGGATAAGGTTTTACTGATGTGAAAAAGAGCATTCTTGGTTTTAATTGGCCCAAACTACATCAAGTAGATTTCTGCGATGGGGCACTTAAAGGGGCACTCCAGGGACCTGTCTGGAGAAATATGTAGATTAAGTTACAATTAGTCGTGGTGGGTGTTCTTTTCTTAATCTTCCCTAGTTTAAATAAAAAAAAAAAAATACTAATTAGCACTAACTAATTTTGCTTCATAGGACCACCTTCTCTACCTCTTTCTTCCAACCTGCAGTGTTACCTTTTTTTTTTTCTTTAACAGTTCTGGTACCATTGTCACATGACTTAAGTTACTACTTGGAGTTGTAGTTCAGTTGTTTCCTTTCTGCTGCAGAAGGCCGACAAATTAACTACAGCTCCCAGGAACCATTGCAGTTTACATGTTGCACTGCATATGGGAGAAACTCAGAACTGCTCTGCAAAGCATAGTAAGCATCACTCTCTTGTTTTTTTGGCTTCAACTCATTGCAAACACAATCAGGTTTTTTTTTGTAATGCAAAAACCTAAAATGTGAATCTCTTCAATTACGTTATTAGTTTCAATTTACGGTTTTTGCACATTCTTTTTATGTACTCTTTATTTAAGGTTTTACAAATTGGGTTAAATCCAACCTGGAGTGTCTCTTTAAGCTCTGAATTTCTTGTATACCGTTCTACATTATATGAGTCTCCAACTCATTTAGGCTCAATGAAAGTATAATTCTGTCATAACAAACCAGCCATTAACGATCCAACATCGAAATGGAATGTCTCTGATTTCATTGTGGCAGGATTGTGTAGAGCTGCATACAATAAATAAATTAGACATTCCACATTGAGTGGGTCGTTATGGACTAGATTTTGTTGATGGCATGCTATATCATTGTTCCTTAAAGAGTTACATTATCAGCCTCCAGATACCATATCCTGCATTTTTGGATTATATGCAGATTACTACTCTTACTCTTTCGCTACATTCTTCTGACTTTTAACTTCAAATGAAAAGACACACACAAAACCAGATGACATAAATTGACAATAAAGAAAATTACACCAATGTACATCTTATTTTGTTTTGTTAAAAAATAACAAATGGGATAAGGGTTAATAATATCTAATGTACACATCCTTATAAGTGCCTCTACACAATTATATCTTATTAATTTCCATCGACTTAAAAAATAATTAACAAAAATCAAATGTCATAGTTAAAATTAAGTGCACAACAAAACTTTTTCAGTTTGAAGCAGCAAATTTCTTGTTTTTTTTTTTTGTTTTTTTATAAATTGAAATATTTACAGGAAGCTGTCCCATTGAGAAAATGTGTATGGCTAAAGACATTTTTTTCTGTTAAAGTATACATAAACATTCTCAATTAATTATATACTTTTTTATATTTTAGTAATTATTATTTTCCATCAATAGTATATTCTTTCCATTTTAATTAAGAACAAATAAATGGAAATACATTTCTAATCTTCATTTAATAAAAAATATTTTAAAAAAGAAACCATGGTTGTCAAAAGTTACTTAACGCAGAGGTTATAATTTAAATTACATTTTGTTTTTATTAATGTTTACTTTACTCCTTAATCAAATTTGTAGGCTCGCCATTTAAAACAAAGCAATTGATTTCATGTTACATTCACTTTATAATTGGAAAATATACACAAAACATTTTTTTTAACAATTATAATTTTACATTTCAAGACTTTTAATATTTTTTAGTTATTTTTTTTAAGATTAGATGGAAATAAATAAAATATGATTTGTGAAAATGTGTGAGCAGTGAGGTTTTTCCACAAATTTTGTTGAATTTGTTACAGATCAGATTGTACCATACAAACATTAAGTATTTCTAAAATATAATATTTTTGTTACTTTTGTATAAAATATCTCATGTGCAAATGGATGTTGTTTGTGTTTTCAAATTGGATGCTAATTTAAAGAATACTCAGATAAAAATCAAAACAATCTGGATTTCTCTTGTTAATTTTCTCTTGTATCTTGACTGGAATATATATATATCTCATAAAATCCATATTTTAGCAACATCTAGCATGCAGGAAAAAAATAGCTGGAGATGAGAGCTGTACAAATAATTAGCAAGCTGTAATTCATAGCTATTTATCTGAAAAACAAAGAAATTGATTTAAGCATTTTACAACTCATAAAAATCAGTCACTAGATTTTCAATGGGTCGCAATTAGTTCCAACTAAAGTATATAAACTATATATACACACATAGATATATATTGTATGATGATAAAATGAATTTCACTTTGAATACATTGCATTTAGGATACAAGAAAAACAAACATAAAATTCCAGAAAAAAAAGACTAGTGTCACATTCCTGTGATGTGATTAAATGGCTTTGACATTGATGATTGTTAATTTTTTTTATTCATAAAAATGATTGTGTACCATTTCTCGGAAATGACGTCTTGCTTGATAAAAATAAAGCTTTTGCACATTGAAGTAGTGTTTTATGTTGAGGGATTATTTAAATAAATAAAAAAATTTTATCCTTCTCAATAAAATTAATGTGCTGCACTGTAGAGAAAGGTGACAAATGAAATATAATCAGCTCCTTATCTTCAACCATTGTTCATACAAAATTCTGGACAATAAAAAGAGCACTGAAGTAAAAACCCACAGGTTGAGACTAAATATTGCTGTGAAAGAGACATTTTACTTTTGTCACATACTTATTATAAACACACCTTTTTCTTAAATAGCAGTTGCCTGCTATTATGCATAGGCTTGTACAAAAATAGGCCTATAACCAGCAATTAGGCCCAAAGTAAACAAGCTTAGAGTTACTGTCACTTCTGGCCCTAGACTGGAATAGACCTTTAGGAAATGTAACTATCTGGTAAAGCTTCCCATATTTAAATAATAAATATTTTTTTTAAAACGTTAGGCCTTGCAATTTAAAAAAAAAATAAGAAAAATTCCATGCATGTAGAGGTTATATCAGCATACTATGATATAGCCAAGAGGATTGCTAATATTTTGGCCTATTAACTTAAGTATAATCAGTTTTGTAAATTGAAAAACTGGGAGGTGAAGCCCTGGATTTCTTATCTGAGAGAATTGCATGGTAAAAAATAATTACATTTTACCACAATGGATTCTTCTGATCACTACATAACTCTATGAAAAATGTGGTGGTGTTAGCTAGAATGCTACTTTAAATACACAACCATTATTTTTCCAATGGTGGAAATTCAGGGATGGAAATGACCTAATGGTTGTAAGATTATGTTTTGTATTGCTTGGGCATACAAGGAGACTGTTGGATTTATGATACAATTTGTGAAATATATATTTTGTTTTGTTTCAATTCCATTGCTGGTGAATAAAAACAGACTCAACAGAAATTCTCTGAACATTATTTAAGATCAGAAAAGAATTGTTGAATCAGACGAGTCATAGAATTTAAACATGCAAAGCTCCTGACTGTGTAGACTCTCATTTAATTTGTTTTAAAGACACCATACTCAAAAATTTTAAAAATAGGACCATATCAGGAAATTGAGCGTGAGACCTACTGGTCTGTGTACAGGCAGTAACATCAGAAATATAAATAGTTAGAGCAGGTAACCAATATTTTTGGGGTAAAATAAGCCCATCTTGAGCATACAAGACTCTTAATCATTCTCAATCAATGTTGGGTAAAGTGCACTTGATCTAGCTATTTTGCTCAGGATTTTACAATCATGATAATGGAGATTCCGCTAATATTGCATAAATCGTATGCTAAATTATCTGCATTTAAGTTAAAGAGAGGCTTTTTGAAAAGACAATTACTTGTTCGGACATGTACAACTCAACTCATCTTGTCATTTTATATAAGATTATATTGCTAACCCTTCTATAAATTTCATAGAGAATCACAAAAGGGGGAACTCACATAATAAGTTATTCACAATCCTATCTGATTAATAAATAGAAGGCAAAATTAATTTGTTACAAAAACAATGTCATGCACTTTTCTCTGGTGAAGAAGATCCAGTCGGCAGCCACTGTGATTTAGTATTCATCAATAGGGAATTGGAAAAAGTAGTAATGAAAACTGAACTTTTAAAAGGTAAAGGGGGTTAGACTACCAAACATCTAGTCTAAATTTCTGAGGTTTGAAAAACGTAGCTTTCGCTCCTTTTGTTCTTCAATCTGACTGTTTTAGGCTACTGTTTGCAATATTAAAGTCTATTCTCAACACTTGTCTTAGTAAATAACAACTTTAATGCAAAATTGCCAGTTCCCCTTGACATATCAATTTAACACAATAATAATAATAAAAAAAAATATTGTATATATTTTTTCCGGTAACATATTTCTTTCTAAATTGTATATTCTGCCTCTATAAAAATTTTATTAAACTCCATTTTTTGGAGTTATATCTCAGTTTTATAAGTGCCTTATTGTACTTCAGAGTACTATTGTGAAATTCAGGATGAATAAGTGTTGTTTGTTAAATTAACTGTTTGAATCCCTTTTGACAACTCAATAGTTTTGTACTGTTTATTATTTCTGATTTAAAAAAAATCCTTTAAATTCTGTATCCTACTAGAAGAAACAGATTTGGCATCTGATGAAGTTGTTTAGTCTGGGAAAAATCCAATAATCTTATATATACACCTTCGTGTTTCAGTACAGTTTGTGGTAGAGCAAAATTTGTCCATGTTTTATTTTTTTGTTAATTGAGAAATGCATTGTATAGATCAATATTCCTTGAATATTTATGGACCAAACCTTTGTGAAATATTCTGATTAAATTTGTGTGAATAAACAATTTGCATTCAGTGGAGTTTTATTTTTATCCTATGTTACATTTTGTTATCCCATTCCTGATTTTGTCTCTTTGAAAACAACGCCAGGTATTTAAACAGAATTTTAATTTTAAAGTGCTAATAAGTTTCAATTTATATATTGCTTTTTCCCCTCAAGATTTAACATTTTTTAAAATATTTTTTTAAACTATTTATTTTTATAGTTTGTTTGGACTGCTGTAAGGTATATATTTTTCATTTGCCATGGTTATTGTTTGAACAGAAAATTATTAATAATATGGGGAGGTATGTATCAAATAATTTAAAGGTGCCTTAAATTAACACTAAAAATATGAGTATTTTTGACAAAAGATAAAAAAAAATCATTAAAAGTTAACAGGTTCCAGATATAAATATCTAAAGGATTTGAAGAGGAGATTTTAGCAGAACTGTAGGAATTTAATTATTATGGTTGCAGTTATACGCAACAGATCTTATCAAAAGTCATTTGGATGGATTGCGGTTAAAAAAAGGTTTCAAAGATTCAGTATAGTTAAACAGAATTGTTTTAAGTACCTTCAGAAGCATATTAAAATTATAAAACATTTATTCTTGGCCATTAAGAATGCAGTGTTGCCTGTACACAATATATTATATCCTAAAATACTCATTATGTCTCTAATGTAGATATAATTACAGAGGCACTAATGGAGAATTAATTAGGAAAGTTATAGAATAATAATTGTTGAGGATTTATTTAATCACTGTTTTAAAATTGTAAAATATATTAAAAATCTGAAGTATAAAATATGAAGAAAAAAGACATATTACAAATATAGTAAAATATTAAGAAAAAATGTATTGGGAATATTTATCAAGGTAAAACCTAAAAATTTACTTACTTTTTCTGATAGTAGAAATATGGCACTTGATTGACATGACCCATTCTGACAAGTAAAATATATGGGAAAATAATAACAGTCACTTAGAAAGCTATTAACAAAGTTAAACGATTGTTGAAGGGAGGAGTTGGTGAGAAGGAGCAAACTGATTTGTTGACATGGAATTAAGGTATACGTTTTGGGAGCAGTTTTTGATTAAATTCTTCAGCACAATTTTATTTTATCATGAACTACAGTTTTCCCTCTATCACTGACACTATCTCCTTGACTGTTTATTGGAATTTCCAGGTGCTTGGTTCTATTTAAAGCTTTGTACTTATAAGACCAGTGGCAGGAGGAGGAACTTCATAACAAGTTACATCCTTTTTTTATGGCGCAGTGACGCAAAAAAGAAAATTCTTACCCTGGCTCTCAGAGCAAAATGGCATCACCTTGATACATTCAGCCCCATATGCAGAAATCATTAACTGCTTTGTTGGTGAAAGGTGTCATGCGCAGGTCTCTGCAACAGTGGAGGAATGATTTCTGGGTTTGCTAAGAAAAATAATATCAATAATTCAATTAAAAAATGCTTACCCCGTTAGTGCCAGGTTGCTCTGTAGTTTAATACATTTTTTTGCTATGATTTTTTTCAGGGAGAACAATGTTCGGGGTTTAACAGCCATACAACCCGGCGTTTGAAAATTCCCTAAAGTATTTAAAGAAGGGGAAAAGTTTGATCGGAAAATCTACTGCAGTGAAGACAAAGACAAAATTAGCCAAAAATTAATAAACAAAATATATATATAAACTTTTATGTAACTTTTTTTTTTTTTTTTTGAATGTTAAAGACTTGCTTTTTTTTTCTCCTTATGTATGATTGGCAGATGAGAATTATCACATTGTAATCTAGATTGGGAAGGGTAGCAGTTTATTGTAGTTTCAATTCCATTTTCATAATATGAAATCTGGATTTGTCCATAAAATGATGAAAAAGTGTGTGAAGTTTTTTCTTTTTTTTATTCTCCCATTAAAATGTATATACAAAGGAGCAACCTGGCATTAACAAATCTTATACAGTTTTGGATGCAAACATTTATTAACAATTTCAAGATTAAAGCACAATAGTAGATCATTACCATAAGTGTAAAAACAACAGGACATGCCTGCAAAAAAACGTATACTCAAAAGATGTGAATCATCCTTTATATATATATATATATATCTATATCTATAAGTGTGCCTGTTTCTTTTCTTTGTTTTTTTTTTTCTTAAAGGGTCGGTCCCATGTACCAGAATGTATGTCAGTGCTGTACTTATTTGCAATAAACATTATCAGCACAATTTATATTGGGTAGACAAGTCTACAACGAGGACTCAGCATGTACCAAATTCATTTTTTTACAAGTCCTCCTGTTAGACCAGACCAATGTTTAATGGTCTTCCTTTTGATCTTATAAATTACATTAAAAACTCTTAATTGCTATAGTGAACCAGTTGGATATTCTCATAAAACCCATTCTCCGATCACATGTGAGTTTGTCTGTAACAGTTATTATGTTGGGCAATTTTGGGTAGGGTTAACAAAAGAGTGATGTGATCGCGACAGAGAAAAACATTAAAAATAAACTTCTGCTTTAACAGGAGCAAATTTGTTAAATAGGTAATAAAAATGAGAGATTTAGCTTATAGTTGGTGACAGTCAAAGGAAAACATTACATAGGGGCTTAAAGGAAGCGTGAACCAATGCATGGGATGGCTCTATAAACAGAATTAAAATATGCATGAAGTTTATTACACTTGTTCTTTGCTGTATTCATTTGTGCAAATCATTTTCTTTGATGTTTGCTGTACAATAAACGAGTTTTTTTCCATGACTAAAACGATCTGTCACTTTAGACGTAATTTGGAATCACATGGGTGATTGACCTCTAAACATGTACGAATGTCTAATGAAAAGAGCCGCCTTTTCAATATTTAAGTCCGTGTGCGTTGTCCGTAGTATTGATGCAGTGCTGTTTTTTGTTGAAATTAAACTGATAAAAAAATGTTTCTGGATCTTCAAAACCACAGATTGCTCATTAAACCGTATACAGATTGTTAGCAGTTTCTCAACCCTAATCCTTCCGTTTTATTACTAACTCTAATCTCTCCGCTTGTTCTCTAATCTCTTTCTATGTCCTAACTCCTCTGTCAATTTTCTAAACCCCTTTTATCTGTTATTTACCCTAACTCCCCTTGGTATTTAATATACCTTACCCCTCACCTTACTTTAAAGCTCTAATTCCTTTCTCCATCTCCTAAATGTATTGTCTGTTCCTATTACCTAATCTCTGATATGTTTTCTCTAACCTTAACTATCCACTCTCCCCTATATGTCTATTGTCACTATTGTCAGAACCTGATTGTAATCAGTTTGACTCTGATCTAGTAGACTCAAATGAAAAAGCAGTCTGCAGTCATATTAACCCAAATCAAATTGACAACCACCAACCTTTGCAGGGAAATCTATGAATACAAAGTGAACATTTATAAAGTATCAATACAATGTCTATTGCTTATCTTATTTTAAGTGGATACCTATGTAGTACCTTCCAGTGACATGGCAAACCCTACCAGACTTACTCTGGACCACCACTTAGAAGCTTAAAGGAACACTATACTTTTAGGAACACAAACATGTATTCCCAACACTATAGTTTTTAACTACTTATTTTGGTTTCCAGCCCCCCTCCGCCATGAGGGTTTAAAAGATTAGATTTACTTACCTTTACTCCCTCATAGCTGAAACCTCTTGGAGCTGCATTTCATTGACAATTAAGTCTGACTCTGTTTTCACAGTGACTGTCAGGAAGAAAATTCTAGAGAATCTGGTCTATTAGTCCAGATTGGGGCAAAGACAAGGGGGTTGAATAAGGGGATGAAAGAGATAAATTGGTCCCAGAGAAGTTTATAAATTGGTCTGAGGGAAGAGTAGTTCTGAGCAGATTCGTCCCTACAGTGGTCCAGGTGAGTTCATTTGGACCAGGCAGTCGTTGGGGCAAAATGCCACCTCTTCTACGATGTGTTCCCCTCCCAATACATTCTCTCCTGAGTGGCAGTGGCAAAAGGTGCACCATCTTTCAGCAATTTAAAGTCCCCTATGGCTGGACAGATTGTGGAGCTGTTCTGGGTACCCACTCCAAATACACACACACCAGTTCCCGGTAATCTATGCCGCAACCCCTCTCTCACTCACAGCAGACATCAAGACTTCGGTATGCAAATGTGTAACTGTGTCTGTTTGTGAGTGTGTGTGGCTGTACAAGTCTGTATGTTGATGTGAATCATTATGTAATTATGTATGGCTGTATCTAAGTTGCTTGAGAGTTTGTATGTATGGGATTGAGAAGATACACTGTAGGATATTGGTGGGATTTTGGTAGGTGCCATCAATGGATTAAGCACCACAGTGACTTTGGATCCAGACAGCACAATATCTTTGTCTGGCCATGGATTTGAGATACATAAACCAGTTCCTCTATGCACTGGACCTCATCAACTGTAAGAATCCTGCAGAGGTAGAATCTAATATATAATATTTAGTAACATACGTACTTCAGGCAAATGTCTCATTTGGATTTTTTTTCCTAAAAAGAAATGTGTGTTGGAATATGGTACAGAAGGATAGCTATTGAAGTTTCTTTATTTTAATTAAACACAAAACTGCTCATTTGAAATCTAGGGTCACATGAAATTGGCACTTATTAAAGCATTAGATTGTGGGCGAAAGGAATATTTTGGTAAAACAAACATTTTTTAGTCTATCAATCTGTAATAAAGAAAAACAAAAAACCTTCCAGTGTACTACCGGTTACTTTTAATAAGTTTGTTTGGGAAGTTTTATTATTTCTGTTTCTTTTCTTTCTTTGAAATAAATTAATTTCAAAGTAATTGTGTTTTCCAAGAGATATTGCAGAAGACAACCTTTCTGGAAACATCAGAGTAAAACTAATCAATCATATTAAGCTTGTTCGTTTTTATCTTACGATTACATTTCCGGCATTGAACAGAATTTCATTACAGATTTGTGCTGCACATGGGTGAGACTTATTGGATACCTGCACAAGTGTGGTCAACATAGCAGAGACAAAAAAAACAAACCAAGCCATGTAGAACTCCCGCAATCCAATTTTGGATTCTAAAATGATCAATTTTACATTGAAAATCTTCTTGCTTGTTTTAACAAAATACATTAGGCATAGTGGTAATTTAATCCATTAATGGTTCATTTTTTGTTTTGTAAAAAAGAAAAAAAAATATGAACTTGAAACAAATATGATTACTACACCAATGTATTTATTTCGGGCAAATCAGGATCAAGTGTTCACAGTCTCAATAAGGCAATAAAACGTCTATAGACTGGAAGGTTAAGTAATGGGCAAGGCCCTTTCCTTCTATAATAACTCCTGAATTCAATCAGCAAATCAGGGTGACTTTTTAACTATGGAGTCCCACCCAAGAGACTGCCCCGGGATAATAAAAAAAAAAAAGGCTCTACTAGTATCTACTCCTTTATAATTTCACAAGTCTGGGATAATCAATGTACCAGATAAAAAAAAACAAAAAAACATAAAAATGGTAAATTCAAGTGCAAATTCTATTGATATTGCCTAGTATTCTGGTGCCATTTGGTTTTATTGTTTGTTTGTCTTTTACCACAATTTTATCCTTACTGAATACCAGCCCAGTTAAATAGAGCAAAGTGCACCAAACTAAAAAGCATTTTGACAGCTGAATATTATGCTTCTAATTCACACACAGTGTATTGTTTAATAATAATGGAAATGTTAATGGATACCTATTAGCCGTTTATAATGTCGATGCATTCACAGTTTTCGCTTTTCCAATGTTTTATTGACATTATTGGTCCAGAATAAAAAGTCCTATGCTAATACCAGCTTTTACCTATCACAATCACTCTGGATAAGATGTATCTACATGTTAATGGAGCCACTTTGTTGCTATCAAATTAACAAATTCCCAACAAAATGGTCATACTTAAAAACAATTACGAACGTGAGCAGCGCAAACACCACATGCATCACAGTTGGCAATAAATAATAAAGGGGGGGGGGGATAGGGCCATCTGGATTTCCCAAAATGTACATGATGATAGGCTATTGACTTGGCCATTAGTAGCCTTCAAAGTGTGAAAGAATCACAATGCGCTACATGCAGTGCTAAAAGTGAGCGCTGCTACAGCTATTTAAATGCCGTCACATTTAGTGACCCCTAGCTTCATGCAGCCCTTAAATGTATTGAGAACACTGACAGCGTCTACCAGTATGAGTCGACCCATTGCCATTTGTGGTCGGTGCTGGGCTTTGCCAGCTGTCCAACACTGATCAGAATGTAAGCGGCATGTCTGATTTCCTGCATTACAGGGATATGCCTGTAATGTAGAAAACAAGCTGTAGAGGGTGGCAATGCTCTCTTTAACTAAGAAACCCATCAGCACTGTTAGCAGCAAAGTATGTCTATAGGGTTAGTGTAGGGTTAGGGTTTAAGAAGGATTAGTTTTAGTGTAAGGTAAGGATCAATGCCCAGTTAGGGTTATTGCCGTTTTAGGGTTAGGGATCTCATAGGGTTCAGGTTAGGGAAAAGGTTAGGGCAGGTATATGGTTTATTTGAGCGTTAGTGTAAGCACATGGTTAAGGATAGGGTTGGCATA